TCTCAGGGGAACACCGGTACCGTCTCAGGGGAACACAGTTACCGACTCAGGGGAACACAGTTACCGACTCAGGGGAACATAGTTACCGTCTCAGGGTAACACCGATACCGTCTCAGGGGAACACTGTTATCGTCTCAGGGGGTTGGCATAGAATGGGAGGATGTCACATTATGGGTGGTTGGCACAGTATGGGAGAATAGCACAGTATGGGAGAATAGCACAGTATGGGAGGCTGGCACAGTATGAGAGGTGGCACCGTATGGGAGGTTGGCCCGGTATGGGAGGATGGCACAGGATGGGAGATTGGACCAGTATGGGAGGTTGGCACAGGATGGGAGATTGGACCAGTATGGGAGGTTGGCACAGGATGGGAGGAGGCACAGTATGGGAGGGAGGATGGAACAGTATGGGAGGATGGCACAGGATGGGAGGTGGCACAGTATGGGATGATGGCACAGTATGGCAGGCTGGCACAGTATTGAAGAGTGGCATATAATGGGAGAATGGCACAGTATGGGAGGGTGGACCAATATTGGAGGATGGCACAGGATGGGAGGTGGCAGAGTATGGGAGGGAGGATGGCACAGGATGGGAGGTGGCATAGTATGGGAGGCTTGCACAGCATGAGAGGTTGGCATAGTATGGGAGGTTGGCACAGTATGCAAGATTGGCACAGTATGGGAGGATGGTGCAGTATTGTAGGTTGGCACAGTATGGCAAGTTGGCATATTGTGGAAGGTTGGCACAGTATGTGAGATTGGCACAGTATGGGAGAATAGTGCAGTATTAGAGGTTGGCATAGAATGTGAGGTTGGCACAGTATGGGAGTTGGTCCAGTATGGCAGGCTGGTGCAGTATTGGAGGTTGGCACAGTATGGGAGAATGGCATAGAATGGGAGGATGGCACAGTATGGGAGGATGGCACAGAATGGGAGGTTGGCATAGTATGGTAGGTTGGCACAGAATGGAAGGATGGCACAGGATGGGAGGATGGCACAGTACTGGAGGTTGGCACAGTATGGGAGGTTGCCACAGAATGGCAGTATGGCACAGTATGGGAGGATGGCACAGTACAGGAGGTTGGCACAGTATGTGATGTGGCACAGTATGGAAGGATGGCACAGTATGGCAGGTTGGCATAGAATGGGAGGATGGCACAGGATGGGAGGATGGCACAGTAAGGGAGGTTGGCACAGTATGGGAGGTTGGCACAGGATGGGCTGTGGCACAGTATGGGAGGATGGCACAGTATGGGAGGTTGGCACAGTATCTGGGGATGGCACAGGATGGGAGGTTGGCACAGGATGGGCTGTGACACAGTATGGGAGGATGGCACAGGATGGGAGGTTGGCACGGTATGGAAGGATGGCACAGAATGGGTGGTTGGCACAGTATGGGAGAATGGCACAGGATGAGAGGTTGGCAAAGTATGGGAGGTTGGCACAGTATGGGAGGCTGGCACAGTATAGGAGACAGGCACATAGAAGGAAGGTTTGGGGGAGCAGGGGCTATAGAATGGAGGTTTGGGGGAGCAGGGGGTATAAAAGGGAGGTTTAAGGGAGCAGGGGGGTATAGAAGGGAGAGGGAGCATGGGCTGAATGGAGGTTTGGGGAGCAGGGGGTTGGCTGAGGAGGCTCCAGGGGGATTAGCATAGAAGGGAGGTTTGGGGGGGCATGGGCTATAGAATGGAGATTTGGGGGAGCAGGCGGTAAAGATGGGAGGTTTGGGAGAGCAGGGGCTATAGAAGGAATGTTTCAGTGAGCAGGGGGTATATAAGGAAGGGATTTGGGGAGCAGGGATATAGAAGGAAGGCTCAGGGGCAGGGGCATAGAAGGATGGATTTGGGGAGCATGCCTAGAGCAGGGGCAGAAATTGGGGAGACCATTGAAGGAAGGCTCTAGGGGGAGAAGGGGTAGGAAGGGAGGTTTGGGAAACAGGGCATAGGAAGGAAGGTCTCATAGAAGGGAGGTTTCAGGGGGGGTATAGAAGGGTCAGGAGCAGGGGCTATTGAAGGAAGGCTAGCAGGGGTATAGAAGGGAGAGAGGGTTATAGCTGGGGTTTGGGAAGCAGGGATGGTTTGGGGGAGCAGGGGGTAATAGAAGGGAGGTTTGGGGGAGCAGGAAGAAGGAGGGAGCAGATATAGAGGAAGGTTTCAGGAGCAGGGGGTATAGAAGGGAGGTTTGGGGGAGCAGGGGATATAGAAGGAAGGAATCAAGGAGCAGGGGGTATAGAAGGAAGGTTACAGGGAGCAGAGGGTATAAAAGGGAGGTTTGGGGGGTATAGAAGGGAGGTTTGGGGGAGCAGGGGTTATAGAAGGGAGGTTTTGGGGAAGCAGGGGTTATAGATGGGAGGTTTGGGGGAGCAGGGGTATAGAAGGGAGGTTTGGGGGAGCAGGGGTTATAGAAGGGAGGTTTTGGGGAAGCAGGGGTTTCAGGGAGCAGAGGGTATAGAAGGGAGGTTTGGGGGAGCAGGGGGTATAGAAGGAAGGTTTGGGGGAGCAGGGGTTATAGATGGGAGGTTTGGGGAAGCAGGGGTTATAGATGGGAAGTTTGGGGGAGCAGGGGGTATAGAAGGGAGGTTTGGGGGAGCAGGGGTATAGAAGGAAGGTATGGGGGATATAGAAGGAAGGTTTGGGGGAGCAGGGGGTATAGAAGGGAGGTTTGGGAGGCCAGGGGGTATAGAAGGGAGGTTTGGGGAAATGGGGGGTATAGAAGGAAGGTTTGGGGGAGCAGGGGTTATAGAAGGGAGGTTTGGGAGGGCAGGGGGTATAGAAAGGAGGTTTCAGGGAGCAGTAGGTATAGAAGGGAGGTTTCAGGGAGCAGTGGGTATAGAAGGGATGTTTGGGGGAGCGGGGGTTATAGAAGGGAGTTTTGGGGAGCAGTGGGTATAGAGTGTTTAAGGTGTAGGTACGAAAGAAGAGGATTTGGGTTATAATTCACTTAACAGTGCTTGCAGCCGGTACTCTGCCTGATTTCATATAAATAATAAATGGCTTTTCATACAAACTGTGTCCTATAAAAGACTCCCGGCTAAAACCACATATGGCATCCGCAATTTAATGTCTATATATAACAGTATCAGATCATTTATTAGACAGGCTGGGTTATTTAATAAAATTCAAAGTGAATTTTAAATTTAAGGCATAAATAGTCAAAGTGCAAACAGAACTGACATGGAGAATTGTTCTAATTCAGCTATCCTGACCTAAGTGTTAAAGTTCACTCCAAATTCCCTGAGAGTATTTCACGTATGTAGCATTTTAAGAGAATCTCCGGGCACCATAACAAGGTCCCTGGTACCGGCTTACCTCTATGGTTAAACCAATTGGAAATGGTTACTTTGGGGTTACCAAATACTTCTTGCCAGGTGCCGTGTGATCTGATGCTCTAAGCCAATCAGCAGCTCCACAATTATAATCACCTACGTTTCTCTAACCGTTTGGTGAATGGGGTTGTACTGCTTGGCTTATAGCGTCAACTGCTCATCTGAGGATTCCTGCTTAAAGAATCAGGGAGTATCGGAAGGACAGGGAATTAATGAACTAAACAATGCTGGCAAGAGAACGTTGGGGTGATCAGTAAACCGTTCGTGAATAGTGATGTCGCGAACCGTTCGCGAACTTCCCGCGAACGGCTCGCCACGGTTCGCCACGAACCGTTCACGGCGAGCTCCGGTCAGCTGACACATCCCGGCCAATCTCCAGCAGACCCTCCCTCCCAGACCCTCCCACCTCCTGGACAGCATCCATGTTGAAGGCAGCCACGAACCGTGGTGAGCCGTTCGCGGGAAGTTTGCGAACGGTTCGCGACATCTCTATTCGTGAATGGTTTAACACCTAAAGGTTAGCCAGGAACAGGGACCTCTTGGTACTTTAACAACTTAATTCACACAAATCCATCTTTCCATTCACACACAGTTACTCAACACAAATACACCCCTGTATTCACACACACAGACATTCCATATAAATAAACCCCTGCATTCACACACACAGACATTCCATATAAATAAACCGCTGCATTCACACGCAGACATTCCATATAAATAAACCCCTGCATTCACACGCACAGACATTCCATATAAATAAACCCCTGCATTTACACGCACAGATATTCCATATAAATAAACCCCTGCATTCACACGCACAGACATTCCATATAAATAAACCCCTGTATTCACACACACAGACATTCCATATAAATAAATCCCTGCATTCACACGCACAGACATTCCATATAAATAAACCCCTGTATTCACACACACAGACATTCCATATAAATAAACCCCTGCATTCACACGCACAGATATTCCATATAAATAAACCCCTGCATTCACACGCACAGACATTCCATATAAATAAATCCCTGCATTCACACGCACAGACATTCCATATAAATAAACCCCTGCATTCACACGCACAGACATTCCATATAAATAAACCCCTGCATTCACACGCACAGACATTCCATATAAATAAACCCCTGCATTCACACGCTTACACTTCACATATAAACCCCTGCATTCACAGACACTGGTACTTCATACTGTGAATAATATCACATGTTTTAAAGCTAAATGCTTAAGTGTAGAAAAAATAATCCAGGCACTCCAAGATGTTCCAAAGAAAATAGGCAATTTTATTGGACCCAAGAACCAAAGAACAACGTTTCGACCCCTTAGGGCCTTTATCAAGCTACTGAAACACATAACTCATATACAATATACAGGTATACATACAAATGACAAATGAAAAAAACATGTGAATTACTACAATTGATTAATTAAATAGTCAATCAGTGATATTCAAAACAGTGTCAATACATAATCATCTCTCCAATAGTAGTCTCATTTACTGGGGGTGTCAAGAGACTGCAAGGGAATTCAGCCAATAGAACAAAGAAGTTCATTGGAAGTTTGACTAATTATTTAATTGAATAAAACTATTTAAACAAGACCCAGCGGTTTTAAATAAATAGAAAGCGCCAAACCTAGATAGAACGGTAGGATCACGTGATTACGCAAGACGCACACAACGCGTCCAGATACGCCGATCACATGATCGGACTAGACCGGAAACTTGGTTAGTACGCATGCGCGACACAACACGTCCAGATACGCCGATCACATGATCGGACTAGACCTGAAACTTGGTTAGTACGCATGCGCACACAACACGTCCAGATACGCCGATCACATGATCGGACTAGACCTGAAACTTGGTTAGTACTAGTAATAGTGAAACTATTAGAATTAGATCGAAATAAAATTAACAAAGGAACAGTAGCCCACAAGAGTCGCGCACACGGAATATAACGCATGCGCAACACATATATCTATTCAATAAAATAACCCACTGTGAAAATAAATAAATAAAGTCCTTGACAGTTATAATTATAATTATATCAATAAGAAAAGCATTATTCAAAGACATTAACCTGAATACCATTGCAGTATGACAGCCCCAATCATGGATCATATGCACCACGAAAATCGATAGATTTAATTATAGCAACAAATACCATGAATAATTTGGTATATACCTTGTATAATAACAAGCATTTACACATCCAAATCCTTTTAGTTACTAATGCATTCTGTGAAAAATAACCTAATAAATAAAATAAAATAATCAATAAAAAAACATTTTTTATGTATAGATATATATATATATATATAGTGTAAGTGAAGTGAATCATTGTGTATATAAAAGAAATTTAATAAAAAATTAATAGAAAAACCAAAATGATATATGTGTAAGAGCTACAGTTCTAGCAAAAAACTAACAGTGAAAAATGCAAAGTGATGTAATATATAGCAATAATTGATTCAATTTGATGATAAATAATATCACCAATAATTAGATTTAATATGTAAAAGTGATAAATTCGACTTAATAATAAATAAATAGCATCACCAAAAAATGACATTATGTGTATACTAACATCTTTTCAAAACAGGCTAACACCTCAATAATAAGAGACCTATTTACAATGTCACTTTTTATTACTAAGATATTTATATCATTATTAATTAAATATTGATTTTGATATAAAAAGAGATCGTTTTCAATAACTGTTAATCAATATAATGTGACATATTTAAAAGGTCAAATTGCAAATGTAAGAGTAAGTCCTTTTATTATTTTATACAATATAGCTAAATGGTAAATACAGTACAAAAAACCTGGTAAGACTAAAGACTTTCAATTTACATAATATCCAGAGACTATCCTACAAGTAAATCCCATAAACAAAAATTCATTAAAATTGCGAGAGACAATCTTATAACATGTGCTCAATAATGTGAAATCCAGCACAACCCTCACAGATCAAAATAATCTTTAAAGATGATCTGTAAGAGACAATAATAATAAAAAAATTAATTAGAAAGTTAAAAACAAGAAAAATTTTAACTTAATGTGTTAGGGAATCTAGTTCCCTAATCCAAGACGCTTCTCTAAATAGTAATATTTTTTGTCTGTCACCAGGTCTAGATCTTTCGTCTCCATGTTCAATGATTTGAAATTTAAGTTGGGTTATATTATGTTTAGCCTCTGCAAAATGCATTGGAATTGGTAATTCTAACATTTTTGTTCTTATTGTGGATCAACCCACAAGGGCATTTTAGAATATACACAACATATGTAGTATCGCACGTAACAAATTGTCTAATCATATATTTATTACCCTTGTAGGGATAAACAAATGTGGAACCTTTTATCATTGAATTACAACATACACAGTTGTGGCATGGAAAATTACCATTTCTTTTAGAATCTAATTTAACAGGAGTAGTAAGTTCGGCTTTAACTAGCCTATCTTTTAAAGAAGGCGCTCGTTTGTGAACCATTAATGGTTTATTTTTTAAATTCGACAATATTTGGGTGACAATTAGATAGTATATGCCAATGTCTGTCTATCGTTCGTTTTAAATCAGTGGACAGTATACTATAATACAATATACACACTACTAAGGATTGTAACTGTAGTGAAATGTATACAAATACTTAACTTAATTATTGCAGCCTCCCAAGATCGCTACCCAAAGAAGACGACCTTTTAACATAGACAACCACAAGCAACACAAAACTTCGGGATACGGCTGGAAATTAGTCTAAAAGGAACATAAAAAATATACAAAATAGTGAAGTACAATTAACACATTTTTATGCGCTGAATACAAATGCACTCACAGGATGAAGTAGAATATATCACTCATAGGGTGCCTCCCCTGGTTGAAATGGGGGGCTGGTAATCCCTTGGCTCCTTGTAGGCTTCCTTAATAATGCTCAGGACTCCAAAACAGGTAATGGTAGAAAAAGATGTATTTATTGATAAAAAGTGAATAATCACCATCAATATAGAATATGATAAAAGAAATAACGGTATGGTCCTACGCGTTTCGTTCTGCAAAGAACTTCATCAGGGACCGTATATGAAAGTAAAATAAAATCAATATACAATTACAATATATAAAATGTTTTTTTATATATTGTAATTGTATATTGATTTTATTTTACTTTCATATATGGTATTCCCCTTTCAGATGCCCAGGCAGCTACTGCAATCACCAATCTCCCAAACTGCAAACTACACGAATCCTCCAACTCCCGAACTTGAACCATACGAATCCTCCAACTCACGAACAGGAAACACATGAACAGTGGAAACAGCCGAACAGGAAAAACCATACGAACAACTTACACTCCTGGCAGTCGCACTGTAACAGCATACAATCCAATTGCCCCCAAGAAGGAGACAACACTTCATTTGAGGGTCAAGCAGAACTCATTTACTAGGGCTACCTGCCCGGATTTTATGCAGGTCTCCCACCTGGTGGACACTCCCCTAGGGGACCAGATGGAAGACTGGGAAACATATTGGACATTGACCAATCACAGACATACAACTTTAAACACTCCCACAATTACATCACATTCCCTCCTCTCTGTCCTGGAGATAATTGGGAAGTAATCCAATTATCTCCCAGGACAGAGGCAAAACTCCATTGAGCACATGTTAGTAATAAGACACAAAAATATCCGATGTTGCAAATAATGAATAAAACACATACATTCTACATCTGCCCAGATAGCTTAGATCTGAGCGCACATTATTACCGAATGGCGCTCAGATCACATACATACAGTTCAATTGCCATGGAGCCAAAGTCTTTTCCATAGTCTTTCATTACACGAATAGGCTCCATGGCATGGCTATCTGGGGTGATGCTGTTCATACGGTTAAACTACCGAATGAACAGGCATTCGGTTATACTACCGAATGCAGCGGTAAGGAGGCTGGCGGCTCAGCTGTGTTTGCGCAAATAAGTGTCCGTTTCCTTTTCCATAGTTTGGGTGCTGAACACCGCTGGCTGTTCGGGAGTTAAAATGGCTGTTGTCACATGTTCAGCAAAGGAACAAAGGCCATCCAGCGTTCGTAAATTAAGCTGCGGTTAACCGCAGCTTCTGGGCGGCCAATTGACAGCACACTCCAGTTCCCAGGTGGTCGATCGTTTGGTACTTTGTTCGGTAGATTGAATCTAACGAACACCCCGGCAGAAAGGCACGAATAAGCCTTTCTGCAGGGAAAATAAAAGGTTTTAAATGCCGGGCCATAGTCTAAAGGGAGCAGGCAAGCAACCAGGCTCCTCCAGTGCACAGTGGCGAGGTTGGTTCCGCCACAGTAAAAAAGGGAAAATCATAAACGTAATACTAAATACTAAAGAATGTGTGTAAATGTGGCTAAAACATGAAGCTTACATTAAAATCAAAAGAAAGGTTGGACTAATGCTAAGGATGTCTGAGCCAACTACGCAGTCTCACAAAAACTCCTTTTATTGGATTGCCCCCCTCTGTGTCTTTCATTCTCTATGTCCATCTTCTCATTCATTCCATCTCTCTGTCCTCTACTTCATTCTCTCATCCATTCACTAAATCCATTCATTCTCCTATCCATCCCCTTCTTCATTCAATTATCCCTCTTTCCATATATTAATGAATCCCCTCTCTCTGTCCTTTGCATTATTCCCTCATTCACTATATTATCTTCTCATCCATCCTCTTTATTCCACCATCCATTCTTTCTCTCTATCTGCTCATTCATTGCCCCTTCACTTATTCATGGACTCTGCATTAATTATATAGAGCTAGTTGGTCTTCAGATATTGTAGAAATGCAACTTCCATTAATACTTTGTTAACTACTAGACTGTTCTAAAATAGCTAAGGATCCACTGTGAGCCACCATCATTCATTCCCTCTTTCTTTAGTCCATTCTTCTTATTTCTCTACCGTCTCATTCATTTCCTCTCATTCATTCCTTCTCCCAACAAATTCCCCATCTTCTCATTCCAACTCCTTTTCTTCCTTTCTCTATTTGCTGTCTACATTCTTCCATCATTTAATCTCTATACACATTCTGTTTTTCCATCATTCCCTCACACTATTCTTTCATTATTCTCTGTACATCTTCTCGTCTTTCTCCATGGTAGCATGAATTTGCCTGATTTTATATTTAATTCTCTCTCTACATAAGATCATTTACTATCCCTTTCCAACCAATCATTCTCCCCAACCTGTCGTTCCCTCTTCATTCTTTGATTCATTTCCTTTCTTTCTTATAATTCATTCTATCTTTACATTATATTACACGTATTCCCCTTCATTGTGCCGTTTTTCAATATTTCTATTTAAATCTTACAAATATCAACGTGAAAACATGCATTTTAGTATTCGTGCTCTCACCAATCTCCAGTTCATTCCCACTCCCCATATTTCCTCTCTCCACTTAACATTATTTCAGTTCATTCTGTTGGGCATTCCTTCTTTCCATACCCTCATTTATGCCCCCTCGTGCTTATTGTGCGTTTCTGCTTTCTGTTACTTATTCATTTTCATTCTCTATCACTATATTAATCTATTTCTGCTCCATTTTCCCCACCGCATCCGCACATCATTCGCTCACTTTACTCTTTCTGTATTAACACTCTAGAGCTCTGTTTCCCTCACCCCATCCCCTCATCACCCCACTCTTAGATCATTCACTCACCCCATCCTATCATCATCCCTCACCCCATTCTCGGATAATTCACTCACCCAGACCTATCATCATCCCTCACCCCATTATTAGAGCATTCACTCACCCTATCCTCTCATCATCACTTACTCCATCCATCCTATCATCATCTCTCACCCTCGGATCATTCACTCACTCCATCCTACCATCATCCACTCACCTCATTCTCAGAGCATTCACTTACCCTATCCTCTCATCATCACTCACCCCATCCTATCATCATCCCTCATCCCATTCTCAGATCATTCACTCACCCCATCCTATCGTCAATCCCTTACTCTAGTTTTTCATCGTTCCCTCACCCAATCCTCTCAACATCTCCTCTATTAATCATCTCTATGCCTGTCTCTATTTGCTTTCCACAGTCTCTTACTCTGTTTGTCAATTTCTCTTTCTGTCTGTTTCTATTCTCTGCCCTCCTTATCACTATTTTACCCTTTTTCTCTGTTTCTCTCTTCATGTCTCTTTATTCCTGTCTGTCTCTATCTAGTTATATCTCTCTTTTGTACTGGTTTCATCTGCCTTTTCCGTTTCTTTGTCTTTCTATATTTCCCTGTATCTTCCCGCAGTCTCTTTCTCTTTACCTCACTGTCTACACCTCACTGTCTATGAGTTGGCCTGTCTCTCTGTGACTGTCTATGAGTTGGCATGTCTCTCTGTGAGTGTCTTCGAGTTGGCCTGTCTCTCTCTGACTGTCTATGAGTGTCTGGCTCTCTGACTGTCTATGAGTGCCTGTCTCTCTCTGACTGTCTATGAGTGCCTGTCTCTCTGGCTGTCTAAGAGTGCCTGTCTCTCTCTGACTGTCTATGAGTGTCTGTCTCTCTGAGTGTCTGTGTCTCTGACTGTCTATGAGTGTCTATATCTCTCTGACTGTCTATGAGTGCCTGTCTCTCTCTGACTGTCTATGAGTGTCTGTCTCTCTGACTGTCTATGAGTGCCTGTCTGTCTCTGACTGTCTATGAGTGCCTATCTCTCTGACTGTCTATGAGTGCCTGTCTCTCTGACTGTCTATGAGTGCCTGTCTGTCTCTGTCTGTCTATGAGTGTCTGTCTCTCTGACTGTCTAAGAGTGCCTGTCTCTCTCTGACTGTCTATGAGTGTCTGTCTCTCTGACTGTCTATGAGTGCCTGTCTGTCTCTGTCTGTCTATGAGTGTCTGTCTCTCTGACTGTCTATGAGTGTCTGTCTGCCTCTGACTGTCTATGAGTGTCTGTCTCTCTGACTGTCTAAGAGTGCCTGTCTCTCTCTCTGACTGTCTATGAGTGTCTGTCTCTCTGACTGTCTATGAGTGCCTGTCTGTCTCTGTCTGTCTCTGAGTGTCTGTCTATCTGACTGTCTATGAGTGTCTGTCTGTCTCTGACTGTCTATGAGTGCCTGTCTCTCTCTGACTGTCTATGAGTGTCTGTCTGTGACTGTCTATGAGTGTCTGTCTCTCTGACTTTCTAAGAGTGCCTGTCTCTCTCTGACTGTCTATGAGTGCCTGTCTCTCTAACTGTCTATGAGTGCCTGTCTGTCTCTGTCTGTCTATGAGTTTCTGTCTCTCTGACTGTCTATGAGTGTCTGTCTGCCTCTGACTGTCTATGAGTGTCTGTCTCTCTGACTGTCTAAGAGTGCCTGTCTCTCTCTGAATGTCTGTGTCTCTGACTGTCTATGAGTGTCTGTCTGTCTCTGACTGTCTATGAGTGCCTGTCTCTGACTGTCTATGAGTGTCTGTCTCTCTCTGACTGTCTGTGAGTGCCTGTCTCTCTTACTGTCTATGAGTGCCTGTGTCTCTGACTGTCTGAGTGTCTGTGTCTCTCTGACTGTCTATGTTCTCCTGTCTATGAGTGCCTGTCTCTCTCTGACTTTCTGTGAGTGCCTGTCTCTCTGTCTGTCTATGAGTGCCTGTCTCTCTCTGACTGTCTGAGTGCCTGTCTCTCTGACAGTCTATGAGTGCCTGTCTCTCTCTGACTGTCTATGAATGTCTGTCTCTCTGACTGTCTATGAGTGTCTGTCTCTCTCTGACTGTCTGTGAGTGCCTGTCTCTCTGACTGTCTATGAGTGTCTGTCTCTGACTGTCTGAGTGTCTGTCTCTCTCTGACTGTCTATGAGTGCCTGTCTGTCTCTGACTGTCTATGAGTGCCTGTCTCTCTCTGACTGTCTATGAGTCTGTGTCTCTGACTGTCTATGAGTGTCTGTATCTCTCTGACTGTCTATGAGTGTCTGTCTCTCTGACTGTCTATGAGTGCCTGTCTGTCTCTCTGACTGTCTATGAGTGCCTGTCTCTCTCTGACTGTCTATGAGTGCCTGTCTCTCTCTGACTTTCTATGAGTGTCTGTCTCTCTGACTGTCTGTGAGTGCCTGTCTCTCTGACTGTCTATGAGTGCCTGTCTCTCTCTGACTGTCTCTCTCTGACTGTCTGAGTGCCTGTCTCTCTGACAGTCTATGAGTGCCTGTCTCTCTCTGACTGTTTATGAGTGCCTGTCTCTCTGACTGTTTATGAGTGCCTGTCTCTCTGACTGTTTATGAGTGTCTGTCTCTCTCTAACTGTGTCTCTGACTGTCTATGAGTGCCTGTCTCTCTCTGACTGTCTATGAGTGCCTGTCTCTCTGACTGTCTATGAGTGTTTGTGTCTCTCTGACTGTCTATGTTCTCCTGTCTATGAGTGCCTGTCTCTCTCTGACTTTCTGTGAGTGCCTGTCTCTCTGACTGTCTATGAGTGCCTGTCTCTCTCTGACTGTCTGAGTGCCTGTCTCTCTGACAGTCTATGAGTGCCTGTCTCTCTCTGACTGTCTATGAATGTCTGTCTCTCTGACTGTCTATGAGTGTCTGTCTCTCTCTGACTGTCTATGAGTGCCTGTCTGTCTCTGACTGTCTATGAGTGCCTGTCTCTCTCTGACTCTCTATGAGTGTCTGTATCTCTCTGACTGTCTATGAGTGTCTGTCTCTCTGACTGTCTATGAGTGCCTGTCTGTCTCTCTGACTGTCTGAGTGCCTGTCTCTCTCTGACTGTCTGAGTGCCTGTCTCTCTGACTGTCTATGAGTGCCTGTCTCTCTCTGACTTACTATGAGTGTCTGTCTCTCTGACTATCTATGAGTGTCTGTCTCTCTGTCTGTGAGTGTCTCTCTCTGACTGTCTATGAGTGCCTGTCTCTCTCTGACTGTCTGAGTGTCTGTCTCTCTGACTGTCTATGAGTGTCTGTCTCTCTCTGACTGTTTGAGTGTCTGTCTCTCTCTAACTGTGTCTCTGACTGTCTATGAGTGCCTGTCTCTCTCTGACTGTCTATGAGTGTCTGTCTCTCTGACTGTCTGAGTGCCTGTCTCTCTCTGACTGTCTATGAGTGTCTGTCTCTCTGACAGTCTATGAGTGCCTGTCTCTCTGACTGTCTATGAGTGTCTGTCTCTCTCTAACTGTGTCTCTGACTGTCTATGAGTGCCTGTCTCTCTCTGACTGTCTATGAGTGTCTGTCTCTCTGACTGTCTATGAGTGCCTGTCTGTCTCTCTGACTGTCTATGAGTGTCTGTCTCTCTCTGACTGTCTATGAGTGTCTGTCTCTCTGACTGTCTGAGTGCCTGTCTCTCTCTGACTGTCTATGAGTGTCTGTCTCTCTGACAGTCTATGAGTGCCTGTCTCTCTGACTGTCTATGAGTGTCTGTCTCTCTCTGACTGTCTACGAGTGTCTGTCTCTCTGACTGTCTGAGTGCCTGTCTGTCTCTCTGACTGTCTATGAGTGCCTGTCTCTCTCTGACTGTCTATGAGTGCCTGTCTCTCTCTGACTGTCTGAGTGCCTGTCTCTCTGACTGTCTATGAGTGTCTGTCTCTCTCTGACTGTCTATGAGTGTCTGTCTCTCTGACTGTCTGAGCGCCTGTCTCTCTCTGACTGTCTATGAGTGTCTGTCTCTCTGACTGTCTATGAGTGCCTGTCTGTCTCTCTGACTGTCTATGAGTGTCTGTCTCTCTGACTGTCTATGAGTGTCTGTCTCTCTCTGACTGTCTATGAGTGCCTGTCTCTCTCTGACTGTCTATGAGTGCCTGTCTGTCTCTCTGACTGTCTATGAGTGTCTGTCTCTCTCTGACTGTCTATGAGTGCCTGTCTCTCTCTGACTGTCTATGAGTGCCTGTCTCTCTCTGACTGTCTATGAGTGTCTGTCTCTCTCTGACTGTCTGAGTGTCTGTCTCTCTGACTGTCTATGAGTGTGTCTGTCTCTCTCTGACTGTCTATGAGTGCCTGTCTCTCTCTGACTGTCTATGAGTGCCTGTCTCTCTCTGGCTGTCTATGAGTGTCTGTCTCTCTCTGGCTGTCTATGAGTGTCTGTCTCTCTCTGACTGTCTATGAGTGCCTGTCTCTCTCTGACTGTCTATGAGTGCCTGTCTCTCTCTGGCTGTCTATGAGTGTCTGTCTCTCTCTGGCTGTCTATGAGTGTCTGTCTCTCTCTGACTGTCTATGAGTGCCTGTCTCTCTCTGACTGTCTATGAGTGCCTGTCTCTCTCTGGCTGTCTATGAGTGTCTGTCTCTCTCTGGCTGTCTATGAGTGTCTGTCTCTCTCTGACTGTCTATGAGTGCCTGTCTCTCTCTGACTGTCTATGAGTGCCTGTCTCTCTCTGGCTGTCTATGAGTGTCTGTCTCTCTCTGACTGTCTATGAGTGTCTGTCTCTCTCTGACTGTCTATGAGTGACTGTCTCTCTGGTTGTGCTGTAAGGTCTCATTAATTATTAATCAGCTCTGCTCTAGCCAGCCAATCAGGATGCAGTGGGCGTGGCCTTCCCTCACTGTCTATCCCCTTGCTTTCCAGTGTGTGCAGTGAGTGTGGCTGGGATGGATGTGAAGCTGCAGTGAGGATCTGCCAAGAAATCCCTGAACCAACTGCTGTATACTCTGTGCTGTACCCACAGCCCCCCCCTGTACTCTGTGCTGTGCCCACAGCCCCCCCCCCTGTACTCTGTGCTGTGCCCACAGCCCCCTCTATACTCTGTGCTGTGCCCACAGCCCCCCCTCTGTACTCTGTGCTGTGCCCACAGCCCCCTCTGTACTCTGTGCTGTACCCACAGCCCCCTCTGTACTCTGTGCTGTACCCACAGCCCCCTCTGTACTGTACCCACAGCCCCCTCTGTACTGTACCCACAGCCCCCTCTGTACTCTGTGCTGTACCCACAGCCCCCTCTGTACTCTGTGCTGTACCCACAGCCCCCTCTGTACCTCTGTGTTGCACCCCAGCCCTCTGTATGCTGTACCCACAGCCCCTCTGTACTCTGTGCTGTACCCACAGCCCCTGCTGTACTCTGTGCTGTACCCACAGCCCCCTCTGTACTCTGTGCTGTGCCCACAGCCCCCCCTCTGTACTCTGTGCTGTACCCACAGCCCCCCTGTACTCTGTGCTGTACCCACAGCCCCCTCTGTACTCTGTGCTGTACCCACAGCCCTGCTGCACCCTCTACTGTTGCTAGATCCACAGGTTTCTGCCACACTCACAGCTCCCTGCTGCACCCCACCTCCTGGAGGCTGCACCCCAAAATCCCTGCTAACTGGGAGGGGGTTGTCTTTGTGCTTTCTGCTCCTTGGATCAGGTTTCTTCCTTTCTGGGGCCAGTTACAGAGGCTTTAACTACCCTTGGAGGGCCCCTAAAACAGCTTCACCCCATCTGGGACCAGCTACAAAGGATTTATCTGGAGAGCTCTCACCTCAAATCTGCAGCAGCCTACCTCACTGGGGCTTTAATTACCCCTGGGGGCCACAAACGGATTGTCCTCCAATCTGGGATCACTGGAGAGACTTTATCTGCATCCCCCCTCTGTGACTTGGAGGGCCCCATCCCAGGACTGATGGACTTCCTACAAGTGGGGACAACTTTCTAGGAGTTCCAGGAACCAACATCACTGTGTGTCACCCCTCAAGCAAGGGGACCCCAGACATTCGGGACTCATTGTTGGAGGGTCTCAGGTCTCTGTGGATTGGGGGTCCCCATTGCATGTTTACAAGATTTGGGCTGTGCACAGATTATGGGGTTCCCCCTGCAAAGCTGAAGAATTTTGGGTCTGTAAGAATTAGGGATTTTCCTCAATGCGAAGCTGACGACTTCGGGGGTCCCCTCTTCAAGGCTGGAATATTTGGGGTCCCTAAGGATTAGTGCAGGACTGGAAGAATCAAGTCCCCCATTGCTCTGGATTTAGGATTTCTTTGTCCTCTATATGGCTGTCCTGCTGGTTCTCCTCTGTATCCCCCTCTCTGTGGCTCTAGAAGGTGAGACAACATATTATATCTAAATGGGAAACATGTGTCTCTAGAGAGGTACAGAGCTCATTCTGGAGTCTGGAATGTGGATTCAACTGAATCAGGGAGCTTCCAAGGCAAAGGGAAAAGTTACAAAGTAACTGTGTGAATGTAGATACATATATAATAATAATAATAATAATATCTCAGGATAGGTGTGTGAATGTAGATACATATATAATAATAATATCTCAGGATAGGTGTGTGAATGTAGATACATATATAATAATAATAATAATATCCCAGGATAGGTGTGTGAATGTAGGTACATATAATAATAATAATAATAATAATAATAATATTATCTCAGGATAGGTGTGTGAATGTAGGTACATATATAATAATAATATCTCAGGATAGGTGTGTGAATGTAGGTACATATAATAATAATATTATCTCAGGATAGGTGTGTGAATGTAGATACATATATAATAATAATATCTCAGGATAGGTGTGTGAATGTAGATACATATATAATAATAATAATAATAATAATAATATCCCAGGATAGGTGTGTGAATGTAGGTACATATATAATAATAATATCTCAGGATAGGTGTGTGAATGTAGATACATATATAATAATAATAATAATAATAATAATAATAATAATAATAATATCCCAGGATAGGTGTGTGAATGTAGGTACATATAATAATAATATTATCTCAGGATAGGTGTGTGAATGTAGGTACATATAATAATAATATTATCTCAGGATAGTGTGAATGTGTAATAATAATAATATCCCAGGATAGGTGTGTGAATGTAGGTACATATAATAATAATATTATCTCAGGATAGGTGTGTGAATGTAGGTACATAATATAATAATAATAATATCCCAGGATAGGTGTGTGAATATGCATTGCTGGATGTTCATGGATTTCTCTCTGACATTAATTCCAATTATTAATAATATGCAATGAGTTGCTATCAGATTAGGATTATTGTCTGTGTTTAATGTTCAGTTTTATAGGTGGTTTATTATGTAGAGATATTTCTAAATTATGATCTGTTACAGTTTGCTGTACCCACAGCCCCTGCTGTACTCTGCGCTGTACCCACAGCCCCTGCTGTACTCTGCGCTGTACCCACAGCCCCTGCTGTACTCTGCGCTGTACCCACAGCCCCTGCTGTACTCTGTGGATAAAAAAACAAAAAAACAATTCTCCCTCTAGTTATTACATGGAATATTAGTCAAACACAATAAGATAATTTAATGAAACCAACAAATCTATGTTACATGTGTATGTAAAAACATCTGTCTGTCTATTATCTAGTCTGTCTATCTACATATATATATATATATTCCCTGTACAGGGACTGGGGCGGTAGTTATTCTATAGGTTCCCTGTACAGGGACCGGGGCGGTAGTTATTCTATAGGCTCCCTGTACAGGGACTGGGGCGGTAGTTATTCTATAGGTTCCCTGTACAGGGACTGGGGCGGTAGTTATTCTATAGGTTCCCTGTTCTATAGGTTCCCTGTACAGGGACTGGGGCGGTAGTTATTCTATAGGTTCCCTGTACAGGGACCGGGGCGGTAGTTATTCTATAGGTTCCCTGTACAGGGACCGGGGCGGTAGTTATTCTATAGGCTCCCTGTACAGGGACCGGGGCGGTAGTTATTCTATAGGTTCCCTGTACAGGGACCGGGGCGGTAGTTATTCTATAGGTTCCCTGTACAGGGACCGGGGCGGTAGTTATTCTATAGGTTCCCTGTACAGGGACCGGGGCGGTAGTTATTCTATAGGTTCCCTGTACAGGGACCGGGGCGGTAGTTATTCTATAGGTGGGACCGGGGCGGTAGTTATTCTATAGGTTCCCTGAACAGAGACCAGGGTGGTAGTTATTCTATAGGCTCCCTGTACAGGGACCGGGGCGGTAGTTATTCTATAGGTTCCCTGTACAGAGACCAGGGTGGTAGTTATTCTATAGGCTCCCTGTACAGGGACCGGGGCGGTAGTTATTCTATAGGTTCCCTGTACAGGGACCGGGGCAGTAGTTATTCTATAGGCTCCCTGTACAGGGACCGGGGCAGTAGTTATTCTATATGTTCCCTGTATAGGGACTTGGGCGGTAGTTATGTAGTTATTCTATAGGTTCCCTGTATAGGGACTGGGGCGGTAGTTATGTAGTTATTCTATAGGTTCCCTGTATAGGGACTGGGGCCATAGTTATAGGGTCCCTATACTGTGTGTTATGGTTTTATTGTATGTGGGACTCTCACCTTGTCCACAGCGGTTGCCATGACCTATTCCTGTCACCTGTCTACTCAATGGCCTAATCCTAGATGTGGTTACCTCTTCGTCTACCCCATCCCTCTCAGTTCTCCCCCATCTCTCGTCTTCCCCATCCCTCTTGGTTTCTCCCCATTACTCTTGGTCTCCCTCGTCCCTCTTGGTTTCCCCCATCCCTCTCGGTCTCCCCAATTCGTATCGGTCTCCCATCCCTCTCAGTCTCTTCCATCCCTCTCAGTCTCTTCCATCCCTCTCAGTCTCTCCCATTCCTCTCAGTCTCTCCCATCCCTCTCAGTCTCTCCCATCCCTCTCAGTCTCTTCCATCCCTCTCAGACTCTTCCATCCCTCTCAGTCTCTCCCATCCCTCTCAGTCTCTCCCATCCCTCTCAGTCTCTTCCATCCCTCTCAGTCTCTTCCATCCCTCTCAGTCTCTCCCATCCCTCTCAGTCTCTCCCATCCCTCTCAGTCTCTTCCATCCCTCTCAGACTCTTCCATCCCCTCCGTTCTCCCCATCCCTCTTGGTCTTCCATTACCCTATACCCTCTCCCCCATTCCTCTGTCTGCCCCATTCCTCTGTCTCCCCCATCCCTCCCGTTCTCCCCACCCCTTTTAGTCTCCCCCATCAATCCCGTTTTCCCCCATCCCTCCTGTTCTCCCCATCCGTTTTACCCCATCCTTCTCCGACTCCTTGCCTCTCTCCTCATTCCCTAGTGTTTCCTGACATTACTCAAGACTTTCTCTTTTACTCACTTTTCATTGCTTGTTCCATCCCTATATGTCTATTTTTTGTTACTCCCTAGTTACTCACATCTCCCACATGACTTTTGTCTCTCTGGGAAGGTGCAAGCTCTGCAGCCCAGTTTTATGTGTAAGGCTATTATTATCTAACACAGAAATCCTCCTTCTCAGGATTGTTTAAAAACAATGATTGCCTCTCCTCACTCCCGCTTCCTGCCTCCCCTTCCTTCCTTTCCTTAATCTCTCCCCTTCCCCCTCTCTTTAATCTTCCCAATATAAAGTGTCTGCTTTCACTTTCCGCCTGCACCCCTATAAAGAGCTTTCATTACCCTGTACCCCCTCTCATTGACTCCCATTACCCTCTACCCCCCTCTCACAGCCTCCCATTACCCTGTATCCCTCTCACAGACTCCCATTACCCGGTACCCCCCCTCTCACAGCCTCCAATTACCCAGTCTCCCATTACCCTGTATCCCTCTCACAGTCTCCCATTACCCTGTACCCCCTCTCACAGACTCCAATTACCCAGACTCTCATTGACTACCCTCTACCCCCCTCTTACAGCCTCCCATTACCCTGTACCCCCCTATCACAGCCTCCCATTACCCTGTACCCCCCTCTCACAGTCTCCCATTGCCCTCTACCCCCCTCTCACAGCGCTCTCCCATTACCCTGTAACCCCCTCTCACAGTCTCCCATTACCCTGTGCCCCTCTCAAAGCCTTCAATTACCCTGTACCCCTCTCATTGACTCCCATTAGACCTGCGCTCTCCCATTGCCCTGTACCCCCCTCTCACAGTCTCCCATTGCCCTGTACCCCCCTCTCACAGTCTCCCATTGCCCTGTACCCCCCTCTCACAGCCTCCCATTGCCCTGTACCCCCTCTCACAGCCTCCCATTGCCCTGTACCCCCTCTCACAGTCTCCCATTACCCTGTACCCCTCTCAAAGCCTTCAATTACCCTGTACCCCTCTCATTGACTCCCATTACCCTGTACCCCCTCTCACAGACTCCCAATACGCTCTACCCCCCTGTCACAGTCTCCCATTGCCCTGTACCCCCTCTCTGTGCTCACATTTTCACAAACCCCAACTCGTTCCTTTCTGGGGTGGTCTTGGTTCCTTCACTACAAACAAATATGTTGTAGTGCCATTCAACGTAACCCCACCCATAGCCAGGTGGCTAATTACAGAGTAAGGCAGAATGGAGGGTCATATAACCAGGCGTTTGGGACCCAGTGCTTCTAGAGGGGGAAGGGAGGGGCTGGCTGGCACTGTTGCTGTCTGTGCTGTACCTGTGCTGTGTATACATGGCATGGTGTAGTAGTGTGTGAGGGGAGACTGGCACTGCCACTGTCTGTGCTGTACCTGTGCTGTGTATACATGGCATGGTGTAGTAGTGTGTGAGGGGAGACTGGCACTGCCGCTGTCTGTGCTGTACCTGTGCTGTGTATACATGGCATGGTGTAGTAGTGTGTGAGGGGAGACTGGCACTGCCGCTGTCTGTGCTGTACCTGTGCTGTGTATACATGGCATGGTGTAGTAGTGTGTGAGGGGAGGCTGGCACCGCCGCTGTCTGTGCTGTACCTGTGCTGTGTATACATGGCATGGTGTAGTAATGTGTGAGGGGAGGCTGGCACCGCCGCTGTCTGTGCTGTACCTGTGCTGTGTATACATGGCATGGTGTAGTAGTGTGTGTGAGGGGAGACTGGCACTGCCCCTGTCTGTGCTGTACCTGTGCTGTGTATACATGGCATGGTGTAGTAGTGTGTGTGAGGTGAGGGGAGGCTGGCACTGCCCCTGTCTGTGCTGTACCTGTGCTGTGTATACATGGCATGGTGTAGTAGTGTGAAGGGAGGTTGGCACTGTTGCTGTCTGTGCTGTACCTGTGCTGTGTATACATGGCATGGTGTGTAGTAGTGTGAGGGGAGGCTGGCACTGTTGCTGTCTGTGCTGTAACTGTGCTGTGTATACATGGCATGGTGTAGTAGTGTGTGTGAGGTGAGGGGAGGCTGGCACTGCCCCTGTCTGTGCTGTACCTGTGCTGTGTATACATGGCATGGTGTAGTAGTGTGTAAGGGAGGCTGGCACTGCCCCTGTCTGTGCTGTACCTGTGCTGTGTATACATGGCATGGTGTGTAATAGTGTGTGAGGGGAGGCTGGCACTGCCGCTGTCTGTGCTGTACCTGTGCTGTGTATACATGGCATGGTGTAGTAGTGTGTGTGAGGTGAGGGGAGGCTGGCACTGCCCCTGTCTGTGCTGTACCTGTGCTGTGTATACATGGCATGGTGTAGTAGTGTGAAGGGAGGTTGGCACTGTTGCTGTCTGTGCTGTACCTGTGCTGTGTATACATGGCATGGTGTAGTAGTGTGTGTGAGGTGAGGGGAGGCTGGCACTGCCCCTGTCTGTGCTGTACCTGTGCTGTGTATACATGGCATGGTGTAGTAGTGTGAAGGGAGGCTGGCACTGTTGCTGTCTGTGCTGTAACTGTGCTGTATATACATGGCATGGTGTAGTAGTGTGTGTGAGGGGAGACTGGCACTGCCCCTGTCTGTGCTGTACCTGTGCTGTGTATACATGGCATGGTGTAGTAGTGTGTGTGAGGTGAGGGGAGGCTGGCACTGCCCCTGTCTGTGCTGTACCTGTGCTGTGTATACATGGCATGGTGTAGTAGTGTGAAGGGAGGCTGGCACTGTTGCTGTCTGTGCTGTATATACATGGCATGGTGTAGTAGTGTGTGTGAGGGGAGACTGGCACTGCCCCTGTCTGCGCTGTACCTGTGCTGTGTATACATGGCATGGTGTAGTAGTGTGTGAGGGGAGGCTGGCACTGTTGCTGTCTGTGCTGTGTATACATGGCATGGTGTAGTAGTGTGTGAGGGGAGACTGGCACTGCCGCTGTCTGTGCTGTACCTGTGCTGTGTATACATGGCATGGTGTAGTAGTGTGTGTGAGGGGAGGCTGGCACTGCCGCTGTCTGTGCTGTACCTGTGCTGTGTATACATGGCATGGTGTAGTAGTGTGTGAGGGGAGGCTGGCACTGCCCCTGTCTGTACTGTACCTGTGCTGTGTATACATGGCATGGTGTAGTAGTGTGTGAGGGGAGGCTGACTCTTCATTTACTTTACAAATGAACAGTCTTATAGGACAATTCTCCTCCTCCTCAATTTGCCCCCTGGGGCCTGGACACCCGCCTCTCCTGCTTCCCCCATGCCATGTAAGGGACTGTCTCCATTCAGAGGATTAAACAGAGAGAAGATTTATGTTACTTTCAAAATCACTTCATCCTTTTTATCCTCCCCCAGACCTGCGCTCTCTCTGCTCTCCCAGACCTGCGCTCTCTCTGCTCTCCCAGACCTGCGCTCTCTCTGCTCTCCCAGACCTGCGCTCTCTCTGCTCTCCCAGACCTGCGCTCTCTCTGCTCTCCCAGACCTGCGCTCTCTCTGCTCTCCCAGACCTGCGCTCTCTCTGCTCTCTTAGGCCTGCACTCTCTCAGGCAGTGAGTGAGGCATTGTTTGCCTCCCCGGTCCCTGCACTCAGTGAGTGAGGCACTGTTTGCCTCCCCGGTCCCTGCACTCAGTGAGTGAGGCATTGTTTGCCTCCCTGGTCCCTGCACTCAGTGAGTGAGGCACTGCTTGCCTCCCCGGTCCCTGCACTCAGTGAGTGAGGCATTGTTTGCCTCCCTGGTCCCTGCACTCAGTGAGTAAGGCATTGCTGTCTCAGTCAGGTTTTTACCTGCTGTTTCCTGTGACTAATAAACCCAACACGTTGCAATCCACCCACCTCTCCCATCTTCCTTCACGGGCCAGGCTGTGCCATGGGCTACGAGACACATCATTCTAGGCAGACCATACTGTGCTGGGTCACAATGTTTCTATTGTAGTAGATGTCCATCTGCGGTTTGTAAGGTAGATTTAGCATCGGTTATCTGTGGCATATGATGATTTGGCATTACCTCAGGCACTGTTATGCAGTTAAGATGAACCTGAAATTACTCTGTTTAAAACAAACCTTTGGCACCCAGACAGATTCTCTCTTCTTCCTAATGTTTCCAGGGCTGAACCCATTACCCTGATTCCTCTGTTACTCTCCCCGACCCTTGCACTCCTGAAATGTGATTTGGGAACCCCAACCCAACATCTGCCCATAGTATCACCTCTCCATGTGTTCTGTCTCACACATAGACACTCTCACAGTCTCTTACATACAGTGACATTCTCACACACAGACACTCTGGCACACTTACACAGACACTCTCTCACACACAGACACTCTCACAGTCCTTTCACTGTCTCCAGGATACATCCTTGTTTTTCTTATCCACCAAAAACCCGAACTCCTGTTCACCTGAGACCTTCAGAACAGAATTTCATATTTTCTAATCCACCAAGAGACGGATCTCCAACCTTCTTTACCTATGTTTCCTCTAATCCACCCAGACAGATTCTTTCTTCTTCTCCTTTTTTTCCAAATTACTCTGTTTAATACAAACCTTTGGCACGCCATAATGCTGACAAAGCATCAGTGGAGATGTAGTCACCAACATCTGCAGCACCAAACATTGCCTGCCCTTGTTCTAACATAATTCACCAAAAACCTCCAGGATACATCCTTGTTCCTCTTATCCACCAAAAACCCAAGCTCCCGGCCTTTCACTGTATCCACTATCCAGGATACATCCTTGTTTCTCTTATCCACCAAAAACCCGAACTCCTGTCCACCTGAGACCTTCAGAACAGAATTTCATATTTTCTAATCCACCAAGAGACGGATCTCAAACCTACTTGACCTATGTTTCCTCTAATCCACCCAGACAGATTCTCTCTTCTTCGTAATGTTTCCAGGGCTGAACCCATTACCCTGATTCCTCTGTTACTCTCCCCGACCCTTGTACTCCTGAAATGTGATTTGGGAACCCCAACCCAACATCTGCCCATAGCATCAACTCTCCATGTGTTCTGTCTCACACATAGACACCCTCACAGTCTCTTACATACAAGTGACATTCTCACACACAGACACTGTCACACGCACAGACACTCTGGCACACTTACACAGACACTCTCTCACACATAGACACTCTCACAGTCTCTTACATACAAGTGACATTCTCACACACAGACACTCTCACACGCACAGACACTGTGGCACACTTACACAGACACTCTCTCACACATAGACACTCTCACAGTCTCTTTCATACACTAAAATTCTCACACACAGACACTCTCTCATACACAGACACCCTCACACACAGACACTCTGACACACACTGATACCTTCATGCACAGACACTCTGACACACACTGATACCTTCATGCACAGACACTCTGGCACACACTGATACCTTAATGCACAGAGACTCTGGCACACACTGATACCTTAATGCACAGAGACTCTGGCACACACTGATACCTTAATGCACAGAGACTCTGGCAGACACTGATACCTTAATGCACAGACACTCTGGCACACTCACACAGACACTCTCTCACACACATACATTGCCTTTCCCACACACCAACCAGCCTGATTTTCCTCAGAGGAAGCATTTGGAGAAGATTTGCAGCTGAAGATGAACAAGGAATCTTGTTATCTAATTTACTGTAACTAAAAATTCTTGTTTCTAATAATTAACCACTCGAGGAGACAATCTGTGTCTGTGCTGACACGCATCAATGGAGCCGTTTGTCTGTAAAAGTGTAAATATTGCACACAGATCGGCTGTGCCTTGTGAACAGCAACCCCTCTGTCCCTCACAGGGTTAATAAAGGCCAAAATCTTTCCATTCAGCGAATAATGAAAAGGAAACGTCTGCAGAATAATAGGATTTCTAAACAATGGAATCATGGAGGAGAGATGTGACTTCACAATGAGTGTCAGACTGGGTTATCCTGGGGGGGCATTCCTCATCTCAGACACGTTAACACTTCTTCTATGTGAGTTGATAGTCTACTGGTATAAGCTTAACTGCACCCACTGTCACCCTCACTGCACTCACTGCACCCACTGTCACCCTCACTGCACCCACTGTCACCCTCACTGCACTCACTGCACCCACTGTCACCCTCACTGCACCCACTGTCACCCTCACTGCACTCACTGCACCCACTGTCACCCTCACTGCACCCACTGTCACCCTCACTGCACTCACTGCACCCACAGTCACCCTCACTGCACCCACTGTCACCCTCACTGCACCCACTGTCACCTGGTTGTGGCTGGCTTACATCATGTCTGTTCAGTTTAATTGAGGCAGAGGGGTCTCTGTGGAACCAGTACTCACATAATGGGCCCCTGGGAGCACCAAGGAAAACAAAGGGAAATAGCTAAATAAATCCTTTTGTATGAATTCATTATTAACGCCCAGATACCATCAAACCAGAGGGAGGTAGAATCTTTTTATTTAGAAATATTGAGAATTTATTGTTAATTAGCGCTGCACACATTCCCTATAAGCTCTGGAGGCCCTGTAATGCCATGTATTGAGAGAGTCACAGTTTAGTTAATAACCCTCAGTCCTACTGCGCTCACTTTCCCTTTGTCCTCGTTTGGGCCTTTTACCCCTCGGGGCTAAACATTTAATGAGCACATTCCTGGTTAGAAATTCCCATTGTGTCTGTCTGTCTGACTGAGGTGCCTGTCCGTTCCAGACAGACGCCTGGGGCAATGAGATCACTTCTAACAGGTAACTGTCTGACTTTGTTTCCTGGACGCCAGTGTTACCTGTGCTGATTCAGAGCCACACTGCCAGGATCCAAAGCAGTTAACACCACAAAGCTCAGGGCCCCTCTAGTGTTAGGGCCCAAATCATGTGACACCCAAATGGCTCATGGCCCCTGTACCGTTAGGGCCCAAATCATGTGACACCCAAATGGCTCATGGCCCCTGTACCGTTAGGGCCCAAATCATGCCAAAAAGACACAGGACTCCTGGTGCCACAACCCAAATCAGCAACCTCCTAAAACAGACAGGACCCCCGTACTGCCAGGGCTAGTGCCCACTTTACCCATTATTTATTGCCCACTCTGCAGGCACTAACGGGTTAATTAGAGCAAGCAGGTACCGCAGCTAGGCAGAATGAATAGATCTTTAATTCATTAATTAGTAATGCTCTAACTGGGCCTGTTTGTGCTACACTGCACTCTGTAACCAAGCTCCTATTGGGAGAATTCCTGCAGACTGATTATTAACAGAGCAGCCATCTTATTCTCAGTCTGGCTTGTTGAGAATTTACCTGAAAATGCTTTTTTTTTTTTTTTTTTTTTTTTAGAGTTTGGCCATTCGTGCTTAAAAATGTGCAATTTCTTTAATAAATCACACCATAAAATCAGAGCACTCTGTGTGTCACAAATTTCCTAAAACGTGTTTGATTCCGCCCCATAAATCCCTTCAAAGACGCCGGTTTTCCTCGTCTCCTATTTACACTTTTTATTAAACTGCAGGTGAAAGACTAATTCAAAAACATTTTTCATTTGAGGAATTTAAGAAGTGAGATCAAATATCAGCCTCTTGGTTTCAATCACGCCCTTTTCCATAGCGTGAATACACATTACGTAATTGGCTGGTAATGGAACCCAGAGCGCTGTCCGCAATACTGCGCATATGACACTCATTATCTGGTACCTATAGACAGAGGAACCCAGTCAGACAAGCAGCGGCCGTTAAACCCATATTGAGCAAAGCAGTCATTACAAATAACCTACTGAATTCCACCATTAGATATCTTTTGCCCAAAATGTGCAGTTTTGTTCTCAATTCTCGGTTTAGTGAAGTCGTGCGATTTCCTGTGAAATTCTGTAAAATGGTTGTGTCACCCGAGAGAACGTTTGCTGCGAGCTTGGGTCAATCAAGCAATGATTTGTAACGAAATGAAAACTGAATCGAGGCAGAAAACATTGATTTAGAAAACAATCTTTCAAATCACAGCTCGCAGTTTACTCGTGTTGTCTTTGTTAGTCTCTGGTGACGATTATTCTCTGAATAGTGAATTGAAAGCCAAACATCCAAATTTAGACAAAACATACGATTGATTTGCAAAATGTCTCCCAACTCACCCAAAGTCACAGTTTGAAAATTTTAGCCTGAATTTTGTGATTTAGTTTACAGAATAAATGTTGTTGAGTTGACCGTAAAATCAAACAAATTAAAATGACCAGCTCTGTACTGTGATACATTGTGAGCGGCTGTGAGAGGCTTGTGTTTTTAACAGTAAGTGTGAGAGGATATTAGAATTTGAACTGTTTACACAAATGCTGTTTAATTGTGAAATGCTGTTAAGAGCTGGTTTGACTAATCCGTTGCATTAACTATTCCCGTGTGGGGGATCAGGTTAGTGGACCTGGTTAAGCTGGAGCTTGTCCTACATAATGGTTAGTTTGTAGAAGGTAAGTCTGCTGGCTGCCCCAGGCCGGGGTAGGTCATTGTGGGCAGCAGGGGATTAGCTGGTAACGAGAATGTGTTGGAAGCTCAGGAAGTTAATTTATATACAGGATATATAAGCTGGCCGCCCCTTCAATCTACGAGTCTCTGGCTATTGTTTAAATGATGCTTAGAGACCAGCCTAACTCAGCACAATGCTGTCTGATTTAAAGGGACAGCAGACCCCTCCCGGCCTTACCCATGGGGGGTTTATCCTACTGTGCACAAGCGGTGGTATTAATGCTACATTCTCAGGGTTATTTAGTAAAGGGATAGTCGGGAATTGGATACATTCTGCATGCCAGCTATGCTTCCAATTTCACTATTTGTTTTGCTCTAAAATGTGAAATTCAGTTGAAATTAACTTTGAATTCCTGATAATTCCTCTGGCTCTCATTGACTCCACGGATCTCTATTCAAAACATCACCATCCTTCAAAGCAACTACAGGGTTAGTAAAGGTTGGTACAATCTGAGGAGGTCAGGGTACATGGTGTGAACATACCGACACATACGTGTTTGGTACATGGTGTGACAGGAACATACAGACACATACAGGTTTGGTACATGGTGTGACAGGAACATACAGACACATACAGGTTTGGTACATGGTGTGACAGGAACATACAGACACATACAGGTTTGGTGCATGGTGTGACCGGAACATACAGACACATACAGGTTTGGTACATGGTGTGACCGGAACATACAGACACATACAGGTTTGGTACATGGTGTGACCGGAACATACAGACACATACAGGTTTGGTGCATGGTGTGACCGGAACATACAGACACATACAGGTTTGGTACATGGTGTGAACATACAGACACATACAGGTTTGGTACATGGTGTGACAGGAACATACAGACACATACAGGTTTGGTACATGGTGTGACAGGAACATACAGACACATACAGGTTTGGTACATGGTGTGACCGGAACATACAGACACATACAGGTTTGGTACATGGTGTGACCGAAACATACAGACACATACAGGTTTGGTGCATGGTGTGACCGGAACATACAGACACATACAGGTTTGGTACATGGTGTGAACATACAGACACATACAGGTTTGGTACATGGTGTGACAGGAACATACAGACACATACAGGTTTGGTACATGGTGTGACAGGAACATACAGACACATACAGGTTTGGTACATGGTGTTACAGTGACAGGTACGGTGTACGTAAAACATGTGAATTCATTTAGACAGTTATACATTTAGTACCTACAGTTAGAGAGAGCTAGGTATAGGAGGACGGGGTATACAGTAGTTATAGCTAGGTATAGGAGGACGGGGTATACAGTAGTTATAGCTAGGTATAGGAGGATGGGGTATACGGTAGTTATAGCTAGGTATAGGAGGACAGGGTATACAGTAGTTATAGCTAGGTATAGGAGGATGGGGTATACGGTAGTTATAGCTAGGTATAGGAGGACGGGGTATACGTTGGTTATAGCTAGGTATAGGAGGATGGGGTATACGGTAGTTATAGCTAGGTATAGGAGGACAGGGTATACAGTAGTTATAGCTAGGTATAGGAGGACAGGGTATACAGTAGTTATAGCTAGGTATAGGAGGACGGGGTATACAGTAGTTATAGCTAGGTGTAGGAGGATGGGGTATACGGTAGTTATAGCCAGGTATAGGTGGACGGGGTATACGGTAGTTATAGTTAGGTATAGGAGGATGGGGTATACGGTAGTTATAGCTAGGTATAGGAGGACGGGGTATACAGTAGTTATAGCTAGGTATAGGAGGACGGGGTATACAGTAGTTATAGCTAGGTATAGGAGGACGGGGTATACGTTAGTTATAGCTAGGTATAGGAGGACGGGGTATACGTTAGTTATAGCTAGGTATAGGAGGACGGGGTATACGGTAGTTATAGCTAGGTATAGGAGGACGGGGTATACGGTAGTTATAGCTAGGTATAGGAGGACGGGGTATACGGTAGTTATAGCTAGGTATAGGAGGACGGGGTATACGGTAGTTATAGCTAGGTATAGGAGGATGGGGTATACGGTAGTTATAGCTAGGTATAGGAGGACGGGGTATACGGTAGTTATAGCTAGGTATAGGAGGACGGGGTATACGGTAGTTATAGCTAGGTATAGGAGGATGGGAGATGTGGTAGTTAAAGGTGGGTACAGGATGGCAGGTATGTAGTAGTCATGCCGTAGTGTACACCGGGTGAATGTATTGCGTTTGTATGTATTGCGTGTCTATGTCTGTCTCACGGTTCTCATAATTCGCTCTCACTCATACCCCCCCAGGGCAGCTCTCTCACCGTCTGCCAAGACTTCAATTATCCTTCCCCCTCCCCCTCCCTCCCCAGGCACCTGGATGCAGACACACCTGTACTGTGTCATCTCCAATGTCTGTCCCATAAGTTTACCGAGGGGCTGTGTGTGCACTCTATCCTGGGATATCTCCACTCTATCCGGGGATCCCTGCACCCCACACACTCTATCCGGGGATCCCTGCACCCCACAAACTCTATCCGGGGATCCCTGCACCCCACACACACTCTATCCGGGGATCCCTGCACCCCACACACTCTATCCGGGGATCCCTGCACCCCACACTCTGGGGATCCCTGCATTCTCTCTTGTGGTCTCTGCATTTTATCTGGGTATCCCTATGCCACCTGCACTCTCTATGAGGATGCCCACACCCCCTGCACTCTCTCTGTGAATCCCTGCACTCTCTGTCCTGGGATCCATGCACTCTCTATGGGGATCCCTGCCCTCCATGTTCTGGGGATCCCTGCATTCTCTCTGTGGATCCCTGCACTCTCTGTGTGAATCCCTGCACTCTTTGTCCTGGGGATCCCTGCACTCTTGTCCTGGGGATCCCTGCACTCTTGTCCTGGGGATCCCTCCACTCTCTCTGGGGATCCATGCACTCTCTCTGGGGATCTCTGCACTCTCTCTGGGGATCCCTGCACTCTCTCTGGGGATCCATGCACTCTCTCTGGGGATCCCTGCACTCTCTCTGGGGATCCCTGCACTCTCTCTGGGGATCTCTGCACTCTCTCTGGGGATCTCTGCAGTCTTGTCCTGGGGATCCCTGCACTCTCTCTGGGGATCTCTGCAGTCTTGTCCTGGGGATCCCTGCACTCTCTCTGGGGATCCCTGCACTCTCTCTGGGGATCCCTGCACTCGTTACACAGAAGCACAGAATACCTGTTAGTGTGAATAATATTTAACATACTTTAAAAAAAAAAAAAAAAAATGTAATTATAGAATTTTATTAGCGATCAGTCCAATAAAACACAGCTCTTATACTCCCCATTCTAATAAGGATGCAGCCAGTAATCCTGGGATATAAAACGTGTGCCCGCATTAACACGTGTGGCTGGCAGAAACTACAATAAGAATCAGAACTAACTAAGAATGCGGCTCGGTGGGTGCAGCGCGCTCCGAAATCGACGCATCAGGGAATTTAGTTATGTTTTCCACTGACAGTAAAATTCACTATTTATCACTTTTGTTCTTTCTCTCGCATTACTTTTTATATTGGATTCCGTTTATTAATATTTATTCTGTATTTTGGGGGGCTCTTACATCCCGTTTATTTTAGAAAGTGAGGTAAAATACACATAATAAGAATTCAGTAGAGAAAGTTTATCAAAGGGAGTTGAATAGTGTCTTTTTCAGGGAGTTTTTGTATTCTGTGAGCGTCCTGCTGCGCGTTCTACGTTATTAAAAAGTTTTTATTCTGTGATTGTCGTGCCGCGCGTTCTACGTTATTAAAAAGGTTTTTTTAATTCTGTGAGCGTCCTGCTGCGCGTTCTACGTTATTAAAGAGTTTTTCTTCTGTGAGCGTCCTGCCGCGCGTTCTACGTTATTAAAGAGTTTTTTATTCTGTGAGCGTCCTGCCGCGTGTTCTACGTTATTAAAGAGTTTTTATTCTGTGATTGTCGTGCCGCGCCTTCTACGTTATTAGAGGCTTTATTCTGTGAGCGTCCTGCCGCGCATTCTACGTTATTAAAGAGTTTTTGTTCTGTGAGTGTCCTGCCGCGCGTTCTACGTTATTAAAGAGTTTTTTATTCTGTGAGCGTCCTGCCGCACGGTCTATGACAACATAAACCTGGTGTGCGGATTCGCTAGAAGATAAAGATTTTTTTTGTTGAAGATATTAATAAATGGGGTGCATTTCAGAAATATCAACACAAAAGAAAACATGGTGGAAAGATGTAATGGTAATAAATAATGGAAAATAAATCACAGCCGAAACACTTTGATAAATCACCCCTTTACCGTACACAAAAAACCTGTTACAATATATAGAGGAGAAGAAAGACTACTATTACAAAATATCCTAGTCATTGGACAAGGTCACTGTATCCCCCTGCCAAGTGGCACAGAGCTGCCCAAAAATCACCAAGATCATTATCATAGAGCCCCTCCCACTCAGGCTGGTCTGTATAATAAAGCCCCTCCCACTCAGGCTGGTCTGTATAACAAAGCCCCTCCCACTCAGGCTGGTCTGTATAACAAAGCCACTCCCACTCAAGCTGGTCTGTATAACAAAGCCCCTCCCACTCATGCTGGTCTGTATAACAAAGTCCATCCCACTCAAGCTGGTCTGTATAACAAAGCCCATCCCACTCAAGCTGGTCTGTATAACAAAGTCCATCCCACTCAGGCTGGTCTGTATAACAAAGCCCCTCCCACTCAGGCTGGTCTGTATAACAAAGCCCCTCCCACTCAAGCTGGTCTGTATAACAAAGCCCCTCCCACTCAGGCTGGTCTGTATAACAAAGTCCATCCCACTCAAGCTGGTCTGTATAACAAAGCCCATCCCACTCAGGCTGGTCTGTATAACAAAGTCCATCCCACTCAAGCTGGTCTGTATAACAAAGCCCCTCCCACTCAGGCTGGTCTGTATAACAAAGTCCATCCCACTCAAGCTGGTCTGTATAACAAAGTCCATCCCACTCAGTTATGTTACTAAATACCACAAGTCACCTGGTATCTTACTAAATACCACGAGTTACCCCGTAAGTTACTAAATACCACAAGTCACCCTGTATGTTACCAAATACCATGAGTTACCCCATATGTTACCAAACACCACAAGTTACCCCGTATGTTACTAAATTCCACGAATTACCCCGTATGTTATTAAATACCACGAATTACCCCGTATGTTATTAAATACCACGAATTACCCCGTATGTTACTAAATACCACAAGTTACCCCGTATGTTACTAAATACCACAAGTTACCCCGTATGTTATTAAATACCACAAATTACCCCGTATGTTATTAAATACCACAAATTACCCTGTATGTTACTAAATACCACAAATTACCCTGTATGTTACTAAATACCACAAATTACCCCGTATTTTACTAAATACCACGAGTTACCCGTATGTTACTAAATACCACTAATTACCCGTTATGTTACCAAAAACCATAAGTTAAAGTAAAGTAGTGATTATAGCTCCCAATCCCCCAAACATGAGTCGAGACTTCATGAAGGGGTAAAACGATCTGCTTTATTGATGGCCAAACTTAGCCCTTTTATGATGGTCTCTCAGTAAGGTAACTCCCACATGGGACCTTGTGGAAGACTGTGACAAAATATACAGAGCCAATCAGTATACAACACAAAAGTTAAACACACCCACAGTAACAGTGCAACCCCTCCTTTCTATCCTGGAGATAATTAACTTAAGTGGTGGAAGAGAACCTAATTATCTCCAGGTAGAGAAAAACATGTCCTTTTTATATTTTAACAAAACAGTATTAAAATCCATAACTTATATTTCGCCGAACGTAGTCTCTATGTTCCACATACCCCCAGATAGCTTGGATCTGAGCGCACATTATAGCCGAATAGCGCTCAGATCCCACGAACACAGGTCTCAATATCGTCGAGTGAAGTTTTAATTCACCGGTTGTTCGCGAGATTGAATCCGAAAAGAGTTCCATAACTGTAGCTATCTGGGGTCGGTCTATTTCGTATAATATAATACAAGTGTTCAATGTATTCGTGAGTTTTTAGCCGGATGAACGGGGACCATGGTACGCGCCAGCGGTGGTCGGCTGAGTAAGTGTCTGAAAATAGTTCCAGAGAATCGCCGCCATGCCCCGCTGAGCGTTCAACGATTTTAAAATGTTCAGCAAACGAACGTGGACCACCAAGCCTTTCCTCAATTACCCTGCGGTTAACCGCAAGGTCTGGGCGGTAAATGAGCTGCACACGATCTCAGTGGGAGGTCGGAAGATTCGGTAGTTTGTTCGGTTTATTGCAACAGCACGAAATAGCCATCCATACGAATAAATAGCCAAAAGGCTGTTTCTTTGAGTCTGTTCAAACAGGGATTTCGTTACAGTTACCAAATACCACAAGTTACCCCGTACGTTACTAAATACCACGAGTTACCCCTTATTTTACTAAATACCACTAATTACCCGGTATGTTACTAAATACCACGAGTCACCCAATATGTTACCAAATACCACGAGTTACCCTGTAAGTTACTAAATACCACAAGTCACCTGGTATCTTACTAAATACCACGAGTTACCCTGTAAGTTACTAAATACCACAAGTCACCTGGTATCTTACTAAATACCACGAGTTACCCCGTAAGTTACTAAATACCACAAGTCACCCTGTATGTTACCAAATACCATGAGTTACCACATATGTTACCAAACACCACGAGATACCCCGTATGTTACTAAACACCACTAATTAACCAGTATGTTACCAAAAACCATAAGTTACCCCGTATGTTACTAAAGACCACGAGTTATCCTGTATGTTATTAATACCACGAGTTACCCTGTATGTTAATAGCACAAGTTACCCTGTATGTTAATACCACGAGTTACCCATATGTTACTAAATATCACGAGTTACCCTGTATGTTATTAATACCACGAGTTACCCTGTATTTTACTAAATACCACTAATTACTTGGTATGTTACCAAATACCACAGGTTACCCCGTATTTTACCAAATACCACGAGTTACCCCGTATTTGACTAAATACCAGTAATTACCCAGTATGTTACTAAATACCACGAGTTACCCCGTATGTTACCAAATACCACACGTTACCCCGTATGTTACCAAATACCACGAGTTACCCCGTATATTACCAAATACCACGAGTTACCCGGTATGTTACTAAATACCACGAGTTACCCCGTATGTTACCAAATACCACAAGTTACCCCGTATTTTACCCAAACTTCTACCAGTCCCATCACCCGTAGCCAGTATACACTGTAACATCACAGGAAGAGACCACCACGTCTAAAAGATATTTTATATAAAATATATTTTTGTGAGTATTATGACTGCTGTAAATCTCCATGCGGTCAATGTGAAACTCTCCATGCCTGTCCAATGCTGCGTGTATTGTGGATTGGCAAGTGTTCTATCCGATAAGATATACTTACAAACCACTTTCCCTCTGACTCCCACACCTGCTCTGTGTATATACCGGTAAGAGAGATAACACAACTACGTCACTTCGTCACTAACAAACCCCTCTGCCCTTGTCCCGAGACACGCCGGCGTTTAATGTTCAATATTTACTATCTAAATAATATCTTAGCTTTCCATTAGCAGTCTGCAAATATGCTCAGGGTACCAGCAGTGCCAGGCTCACATACACATCTCTACACCATGCTGTATATACAGCAAGACAGTGGCAGTGCCAGCCTCCCCTCACACACTACGCCATGCCATGTATACACAGCAAAGGTACAGCACAGACAGCGGCAGTGCCAGCCTCCCCTCACACACACTACTACATCATGCCATGTATACACAGCACAGGTACAGCACAGACAGCGGCAGTGCCAGCCTCCCCTCACACACTACTACATCATGCCATGTATACACAGCACAGGTACAGCGCAGACAGCGGCAGTGCCAGCCTCCCCTCACACACTACTACACCATGCCATGTATACAAAGCACAGGTACAGCACAGACAGCGGCAGTGCCAGCCTCCCGTCACACACTTCTACACCATGCCATGTATACACAGCACAGGTACAGCACAAACAGCGACAGTGCCAGCCTCCCCTCACACACTACTACACCATGTCATGTATACACAGCACAGGTACAGCGCAGACAGCGGCAGTGCCAGCCTCTCCTCACACACTACTACACCATGCCATGTATACACAGCACAGGTACAGCGCAGACAGCGGCAGTGCCAGCCTCCCCTCACACACTACTACACCATGCCATGTATACACAGCACAGGTACAGCGCAGACAGCGGCAGTGCCAGCCTCCCCTCACACACTACTACACCATGCCATGTATACACAGCACAGGTACAGCACAGACAGCGGCAGTGCCAGCCTCCCCTCACACACTACTACACCATGTCATGTATACACAGCCCAGGTACAGCGCAGACAGCGGCAGTGCCAACCTACCCTCTTACACACAGTACACCAGGCCATGTATACACAGCACAGGTTAACCGCAAACCGCAAGTTCCTGGTGGTCGACCGTTTGGTTGTTTGAAAGGTGAAAAAGGTTAAGTGGTGGCACATGCCAGGGCCTGGGTGGTTTTACTTCGTGTGTGCGAATATAGGATCCTGATGGTTCGTGTAATTGAGTTTATACAACAAGGGTACCGAAGGGAACGGCATTTGGTAACATAAAATAAAGAGAACCAGTACTGGTCTGTAGAGCATCTGTAACAGTGCTCCCTCCTAGTGGAACACTCTGGCAGACACCGTCTGGCCCCTCATCGGGGCAGACTAAGGCTGTCCAGACTGGTGGGTTATGCGGGAATGAGGTCGGTTCGTCGAGATAATCCATCTGCATTGCCGTTTTGTTTTCCGGGTCTATATGTGATGGTAAAATTAAAAGGTTGTAGTGATAAGCTTCAACGTAAGAGCCTGCCGTTATCCCCAGAAACCCGGTTTAACCACACCAGCGGGTTATGGTCGGTCACCAGCGTGAATTCTTGTCCATATAAGTACGGAGTCAGTTTCTTTAGTGCCCACACTAGGGCCAAGCACTCCTTTTCCACTGCTGCATAGCTGACTTCGTGTGGCAGGAGCTTTCGGCTGATGTTGGCAATCGGGTGCTCCCCTCCGTCTTCTCCTATTTGGCTGAGGACTGCCCCCATCCCGAACATGGAAGCGTCTGTATGGACAATGAAACGTTTGTTAGGGGCTGGGGCAGCCAAAACGGGAGCATTAACAAGAGCATTTTTGAGGGCTTGAAACACCGTTTCACAGTGGGGAGACCACAGGACCTGTTTCTCTTGGTCAGGTCCGTCAGGGGCTTAGCTATGGTACTGTAGTCTGGCTCGAAACGTCTATAGTATCCCTCAGTGCCTAGGAAGGCTAGGAACTGGGTCTTAGTGGTGGGGGTGGGGCAGTTGGCGACCGCTTCTATTTTAGCTGGCTCGGGTCGCTGTTTTCCACACCCCACTCGGTGACCCAGGTACTGCACCTCAGCCATTCCAAAATGCCATTTTTCTGGCTTCAGAGTCAGGCCGGCGGCCTGAATCTGATCCAGAACCATTCCTACATGAGCTAAGTGTTCCTCCCAGGACTCACTGTGGATCGCTATGTCTTCCAGATACGCGCAGGCAAAATCCTGGAAGCCATCCAGGAGTCTATCCACCAAGCGCTGGAATGTAGCAGGGGTATTCTTCATCCCGAATGGCATAACCTTAAAGTAGTATAAGCCTAAGGGGGTGATGAATGCCGACTTAGGGATAGCCTCCTGGGCCAGGGGAATTTGCCAGTACCCCTTACAGAGGTCAATGGTGGTTAGATACTTTCCCCTGGCTATACCGTCAAGTAGCTTGTTGACTCTGGGCATCGGATAGGTGTCTGTTACCGTTTTACCGTTAAGCTTCCTATAATCCACACAGAACCGGGTGGTCCCGTCTTTCTTAGGGACTAGAACCACCGGGGACGCCCAGGGACTGTTGGATGGCTCAATCACCCCTAGTCTAAGCATCTCCTCGATTTCTGTTTTCATTCCAGCCCTCACGGCTTCAGGAATTCTATAGGGAGTCTGTCGGAGGGGTTGCTGACCTGGGGTGTCTACCTGATGTGTGGGTAGGTGAGTGTACCCAGGTTCTTGGGAGAATGTAGTTTGTTTAACATGGAGTAACTGGCGGAGTTGTTCCCTTTCTCCGTCATTGAGTCGGTCTCCAATCTGGACCTGGGCCACTAGGTTTGTGTGGGGGTTCCTTTCCAGCAAGTCTGGAATAGGGAGATTGTCTGGGTCCTTGTGAGGGGGAATACAGATAGCTGTCACATTCTCGGGTTTCTCTAGATACTCCTTGAGCATGTTTATATGAAAGGTTTTTCTCAACATTTCGTAATGACAACTAGCGATGGTGTAGGTAGTGTCCCCCTTCTTGGCTATAATCTGGTACGGACCTTGCCAGGCGGCTTGTAGTTAGTCTGTCTTGACTGGTTTAAGTACAAGTACCTTCTGTCCGATAGTAAAGCTCCTTGCCCGGGCGCCTCGGTCATACCATACTTTCTGTCTCCTCTGAACTGACTGGAGATTAGCCTGGAGCGACCTGGCTAATTGCTCCATTTGGTCTCTTAGCTCCAGCACGTATGGCACGATGGGGACCCCGGCATTTTCAATCTCTCCCTCCCAGTGCTCTCTGATCAGGTTTAGGGGTCCCCTTCCCTGACGCCCGTAGAGCAGCTCGAAAGGCGAGAATTCGGTCGTTTCCTGGGGCACCTCCCGGTAGGCAAACAGGAGGTGCGGGAGGAAGTGTTCCCAATCCCTATATTCCTGAGCAAAGGTTTTTAGCATCTGTTTAAGGGTCCCATTGAACCTTTCACAGAGCCCATTTGTCTGAGGATGATAGGGGGTGCTGAGGAGCGACTTAACCTTACAAACGTGCCAGAGCTGCTGTGTTAATTCGGCAGTAAACTGAGTGCCTCTTTCGGATAGTATTTCCTTGGGAAATCCCACCCGAGAGAATATCTGTACCAAAGCATTGGCTACAGTGTCCGCCTGAATGTTAGATAGGGCCACTGCTTCAGGGTACCGGGTAGCGTAATCTACTACGGTCAGAATATACCGTTTGCCGGAGGGACTAGGAGTAGCCAGTGGCCCAACTAAGTCGAAGGCAACTCTGCTGAATGGCTCCTCTATTATGGGCATATTCATTAAGTGTGCCTTAGGATGGTCTCCCCTCCTCCCTACGTGCTGACACATATCGCATGTGTTGCAATGCGTCCTCACATCTGCATGAACCCCAGACCAGGAGAAGGTATGGGTAATATGGCGAAGAGTGCGAGTTACCGCCAGGTGCCCTGCTAATGGGATATCATGTCCTATCCTGAGTATCTCCTGTCTGTATTTGTACGGGACAACCAATTGTTGCCTATGTTGTCCCTTCTTTTCAGTTAACCGATACAATTTCCCTTTCTACCATCTAAAAGTCTCGTTATCTAGTCCCCCTCCCCCAGACTGGGCTTTTTCCCTATACTTTTGTAGGGTCAAATCAGATTTGGATTTGTGTTCAAAGGTGGCTGGAGTATCCCAAGGTATAGGATCTAATGGAGCAGTCAGGGTTGGAGTGAGTCTTACCTGTGGTTCCCGCACTGGTGAATGTTCGGGCTGATTCCTGTGCTCGGGTAGTCACTGGGTGTGTCTCTGCGTTATAGACTGGGGCGTAAGCCAAGGTCATCGGTCCAAATCGTTGCCCAATAGCACCTCTGCCGGTAAATTATCCATAATTCCAACGTTCACAGTGAACCTTGGTGGTCAGAATTTTGTACACATCTCCCCCAGCCACTCGAACGGCCACCGTCTGACCCGAACGCTTGTGTTTCGGCACCAGGTGGCTCTGCACTAGGGTTATTGTAGCCCCAGTGTCTCTCAATCCCTCAGTGGAGTGACCCTCGAGCCATACTTTTTGCCTGTGATGTTGGCGGTTGTCAGAGGCAGCGTACACAGGGTCAGCTTCATGGAGGGGCCCCAGGTATTCTTCCATGGAACCCTCCTGGTTAACACATAGTGCTCTGACGGACCGGGATGATCCCGCGGGATTATTGTAATTTCGGGGGTTTTGGTGGTGACTGTTGAGGGGGCAACTCGCCATGAGATGTCCTGGTTGTTTGCACCGAAAACAGGTTGGCCGTGAGCGATCGGTAGTATGACCATTCGGTGATCCAAGATGCCTAGTAGGTCCTGCGGGTATGGGAGCCCTGAAGTCCGGTCGGGCCATTCGGTAGTTCTCTCGGTGTTCCGCACGAATGATCGGTCGGTGGTTGTTGCTTTCGTGCAGCCGGGAATCACAATGTTCGTCAGCTAATGTGGCGGCTTCTGTGAGGGTAGTGGGCCTACAATCACGGAGCCATTCTTTGCACTGTTGATCCACCCCATTTTAAAAATGTTCTAAGAAAAATAATTGTAATACCTCCTCACCCGTTACGGCTCGGCACCCTTTCATCCAGTGATCGGTTGCTCTTCTCTTCCGATGGGCCCATTCGGTATGCGTATCGTTCGGCTTCTTTTTCGTATTCCTAAATTGTCGCCGATATGTATCTGGAGTGACTGCATACCGTTGTAATAAAGTGTCTTTAACCCAGTTATATTATGTCACCTCCTCGGCAGACAGTGTTCTGAATGCATCTAGGGCTCGACCCGAGAGTTTCCCTGACAGTATAGTGGGCCAATCTCCGCTAGGGATCCGATGCAGCGCACATTGTCTCTCAAAGTCGGCCAGATATTAGTCTATTCCCATTTCATTTTCTAAAAATGATCGGAACGCTGCATGGGGAATCTTGGGCTTCCCAGCCCTTTCTGCTGGGTCCACCGCCATCCTTGCAGCGGGGTTTTGCTGGGGTGCGCTTAAGTTGATCTTGTGCTCTCTGGTCTCCCGGATCTCCACATCCACTTGTGCCATAGTTTGCTGTATCAGTTCCACGGTCTGGTTCAGGCCACACCAGGAGAGTCTCTCCCGGACAATCCGGTTCTTTTCCTCGTTAGCGGACATCGGAGCCCTTCGTCATGGTTCGGTCAGCTTTGCGGTCAGCTCCCTCCTAGGTCGGTTGCTAGCGTTCCCACCTCGGCTTTCTAGTAGGTCCTTCAACGTGGTGCGCTTCAATTTGTCGTAGGCCTCTCCATCCGCTCTGTCTCTCCCCTAGGAACTCCAGGAATATCCCGCCGCTGCCACCAATTGTTACGGTTACCCCCAGGCTAGCTGGAAGCTGGACCGCTTGGATAGCCTGGATCCACAGTGTTGAGAGAGAGAGAAGCGCCACTTCGGTAGTTAGTCCATACGAATCCTGTAAGTGTAGAGCAATTCCACTAGCTCTAGTATAGCTAGGATACCCTTTTCCCCCACAAAACCAGTCGAGGCTGCGATTTGAAGGTCAAGCAAGAACTGGATTTAATGGCACCTGGGCATCGCTATTTATGCAAAAACCTCAGGTCCAGGGACAGCCCCCTCTGGACCTGATGTGATACAGGGACATTACAAACAATTGACCAATAACAGTACACTGTATCATTTGAAATAGTCACCGCCCAACTTGGAGAAACAGATTTCAACGGTTAGGGCAATTCAATTATCTCCAAGTGCCCAGAATCCCACGTGTAACTTGAACATACAAAACAGCATAAAAATACATATTTATAACACTGTATAACGCGTCTCCTATATTCTACCATTCATTAGATAGCTCAGGTCTGAGCGCATCAGATGTGCGAATAGCCCTCAGACCTCACGAACGGTAGAGCCAGTCCTTAGCATACAAAGTCTTTTCGTGTTTCTTTGTCCCGAACACGAGATGGCGGCCATGTTTTCTGTCGGGGAATAGGTGAGCGAGACCTGGCTCCAAAACCCCTGGATCGAGGGACGGGTAGTGTGTGATGCGAATACCGCTCCAGGGATGGTTGTCTCAGCCCTTCGTGGACAGAATGCAGACCGCCCTGAATGAGCAATTAGCCTGCGGTTAACCGCAGCCCCAACATTTTAATTGGGGACACACGCCGGAGTACAGGGGGGTCCTCGTTCGGGAGTTTGAGTGCGGAGGAGTAGTATACGAACGAGGCCACCCTGGGGCCCATCAATTACGTTTGTGGTTAACCGCAAACCGCAAGTTCCTGATGGTCGACCGTTTGGTTGTTTGAAAGGTGAAAAAGGTTAAGTGGAGGCACACGCCAGGGCCTGGGTGGTTTTACTTCGTATGTGCGAATATAGGATCCTGGTGGTTCATGTAATTGAGTTTATACAACAAGGGTACCAAAGGGAACGGCATTCGGTAACATAAAATAAAGAGAACCAGTACTGGTCTGTAGAGCGTCTGTAACAACTACTACACCATGCCATGTATACACAGCACAGGTACAGCGCAGACAGTGACAGTACCAGCTTCCCCTCACACACTTCTACACCATGCCATGTATACACAGCACAGGTACAGCCCAGACAGCAGCAGTGCCAGCCTCCCCTCACACACTACTACACAATGCCATGTATACACAGTACAGGTACAGCACAGACAGCGGCAGTGCCAGCCTCCCCTCACACACTACTACACCATGCCATGTATACACAGCACAGGTACAGTACAGACAGCGACAGTGCCAGCCTGCCCTCACACACTACTACACCATGCCATGTATACACAGCACAGGTACAGCGCAGACAACGACAGTGCCAGCCTCCCCCTCACACACTACTACACCATGCCATGTATACACAGCACAGGTACAGCACAGACAGCGGCAGTGCCACATTACTACACCATACCATGTATACACAGCACAGGTACAGCGCAGACAGCGGCAGTGCCAGCCTCCCCCTCACACACTACTACACCATGCCATGTGTACACAGCACAGGTACAGCACAGACAGCGGCAGTGCCAGCCTCCCCTCACACACTACTACACCATGCCATGTATACACAGCACAGGTACAGCACAGACAGCGACAGTGCCAGCCTGCCCTCACACACTACTACACCATGCCATGTATACACAGCACAGGTACAGCACAGACAGCGGCAGTGCCAGCCTCCCCCTCACACACTACTACACCATGCCATGTATACACAGCACAGGTACAGCGCAGACAGCGGCAGTGCCAGCCTCCCCTCACACACTACTACACCATGCCATGTATACACAGCACAGGTACAGCGCAGACAGCGACAGTGCCAGCCTGCCCTCACACATTACTACACCATACCATGTATACACAGCACAGGTACAGCGCAGACAGCGGCAGTGCCAGCCTCCCCCTCACACACTACTACACCATGCCATGTATACACAGCACAGGTACAGCACAGACAGCGACAGTGCCAGCCTGCCCTCACACACTACTACACCATGCCATGTATAACAGCACAGGTACAGCACAGACAGCGGCAGTGCCAGCCTCCCCCTCACACACTACTACACCATGCCATGTATACACAGCACAGGTACAGCGCAGACAGCGGCAGTGCCAGCCTCCCCTCACACACTACTACACCATGCCATGTATACACAGCACAGGTACAGCAAGACAGCGCAGTGCCAGCCTGCCCTCACACACTACTACACCATGCCATGTATACACAGCACAGGTACAGCGCAGACAGCCAGTGCCAGCCTCCCCTCACACACTACTACACCATGCCATGTATATACAGCACAGACAGCGCAGTGCCAGCCTGCCCTCACACACTACTACACCAGCCATGTATACCCAGCACACAGCACAGACAGCGGCAGTGCCAGCCTCCCCCTCACACACTACTACACCATGCCATGTATACACAGCACAGGTACAGCACAGACAGCGGCAGTGCCAGCCTCCCCTCACACACTACTACACCATGCCATGTATACACAGCACAGGTACAGCGCAGACAGCAGGCCATGTGCCAGCCTCCCCTCACACACTACTACACCATGCCATGTATACACAGCACAGGTACAGCGCAGACAGCGGCAGTGCCAGCCTCCCCTCACACACTACTACACCATGCCATGTATACACAGCACAGGTACAGCACAGACAGCGGCAGTGCCAGCCTCCCCTCTCACACACAGTACACCATGATCTATTTAGATAACACAGCGCAGACAGCGGCAGTGCCTCTTTATGTGAATGCCTTGTGCCATTATAGTGCATTCTGATATTGTGAAGATAATTCCTGACGTTTCATTCTCTGTATCCCTACAGTCAACCTTATGAACACCAAACTGGAGACCTCGGATCTTAAATGGACTGTTTATCCCAAAGACGACCCACAGGTAACTGCGTGTGTTCTTCTTTAAAATGTCCCTCTGTCCCTTTAATGTCTCCCGATGTGGTCTGTGCTGTTATATTATAAATCCTGTTACTTTTCATTACATCTTCCCAAATGTTTCTATCTAGAGGAAATTTCCATTTTCTTGTTTCCTGATGAGAAAGTTTCCATTTTGTTTGAAGGAACACTATAGTCTCCTAAATTACTTTAGCTAAATAAAGCAGTTTTAGTGTATAGACCATTCCCCTGCAATTTCACTGCTCAATTCACTGTCATTTAGGAGTTAAATCACTTTGTTTCTGTTTATGTAGCCCTAGCCACACCTCCCCTGGCTATGATTGACAGAGCCTGCAAGAAAAAAACTGGTTTCACGTTCAAACAGATGTAATTTACCTTAAATAATTGTATCTCAATCTCTAAATTGAACTTTAATCACATACAGGAGGCTCTTGCAGGGTCTAGCAAGCTATTAACATAGCAGAGGATAAGAAAATCTTAATTAAACAGAACTTGCAATAAAGAAAGCCTAAATAGGGCTCTCTTTACAGGAAGTGTTTATGGAAGGCTGTGCAAGTCACATGCAGGGAGGTGTGACTAGGGTTCATAAACAAAGGGATTTAACTCCTAAATGGCAGAGGATTGAGCAGTGAGGCTGCAGGGGCATGTTCTATACACCAAAACTGCTTCATTAAGCTAAAGTTGTTCAGGTGACTATAGTGTCCCTTTAACCAAATAGGTTTTTCACAATTTCTCTATCGGCAGCTTGTAGCTATTTCCTGGTGTTCGTAGGTTATTTCCTTTCCCGTTTCCTGGTAATTTTTTCCAACTTCCTGTAGTTCAGAAGCTTCTTTGGGAAGTATTTCAATTTATGTTATATTACTTGCTGTTTCCTGAAAAAAAGTATTTTCCTTTTTCTGTTAAGGTAGCGATTTGAGATAGGGTTGTAGTCTCCTGGTCAGATAAAGCTGTCCATTTGTCAAAAATGTCACCAATATTGTTTTCTTTCTTTTCTAATATCGTCTAACCCAGTTTTATGGTTTTTAACACAATTTGTGAGGATCTAGTCTGAAGACCAAACTAATGCTCCCTCTCATGGATACTAACTTTCTACGGCCATTTTCTAGTTCTTGGCAAATGGTGGACAAGGTTACCCCACTTCTTTCTGTTAAACTATTTATTTTTCCTGTTAGTAAACGAGTTGAGAGACTTTCCTGCTGGGCATGATCTTTTAATTATTAACAGATAATAGCTTGGATTTAATTTAGTTTTCGCTTTCCTGTACTCTTTTCTAGTGGGATGAGATGTCTGGTCTGGACGAGGAGCAGACACCAGTTCGAACCTATGAAATTTGCAATGTCCACCTTTCTGGGCAGAACAACTGGCTCCGGACAAACTATATTCGCCGCGGTCCAGCCCGCTATGTGTATGTCGAGCTGACTTTCACAGTGCTGGAGTGCGCATCTCTGGAACGTGCTGGCCGATCATGCAAGGAGACATTTAATCTGTACTACTACCCGTCCTCTACAGACTTGGCTAATGACCACTTTCCACCTTGGATGGAGAACCCATGGATCAAAGTGGACACTGTAGCTGCTGACTTCCTGGGAAGACGTGGTGCTCGTGGGGTCTCAACACGGCCTAATGTCAAGACCTTGAGGTTAAGTGGACTTACAGGAGCAGGCTTCTACTTGGGATTCCAAGATCAAGGGGCTTGCATGGCATTGTTGGCTGTTCGTGTTTTTTATCGGGTATGCCCATCTGTGGTGGCCTCACTGGCAAGATTTCCTGAGACTGTGTCGGAAGGTCTGGTTGTGTCGGCAGAAGGAAACTGTGTAGATGGAGCAGAAGGCTCTATGGGGAGACGTCCCACCATGTATTGTCGTGAAGATGGAGAGTGGGCCAAACCGGCAGCCGGGGAATGTGTCTGCATGGCTGGAAGGGAGGAGAAAGAGGGCCGCACAAAGTGTACAGGTGAGAGAATGGAAAGGCCGGACAGAGGGATAATAGGCGTTCTGGAAATTAGATCAACTGAGACATTACTATATGAGGGGACATGGGGTGGAAGCAGAGGGAGGAAATGTGTAGGTGAAAGAAATAAAATTCTGTTGCCTTATTTCTATGTAATAGGATAGGGGTAGATGTTCTGTGCCTCGGATTCCCCTATTGAGTCTTCTGAGTTGAAGTCAAGCTGCAATTCATCTTCCGAGCTTCTTAAACTGAGTAACGTGTTACAGAGTTCCCAGGATCTAGGTGTGTGTAATAGGGGCTCTGGGTACCCTGGTCAGATATGGTGTTATACTGAGGGTGGTGGGGTGTATAGTGTAATAGAGAGGTTGGTGGGCTGTATAGTGTTATAGAGAGGTCGGTGGTGGGCTGCATAGTGTTATAGAGAGGTTGGTGGGCTGTATAGTGTTATAGAAAGGTTGGCGGGCTGTATTGTGTTATAGATAGGTCAGTGGGCTGCATAGTGTTACAGAGAGGTAGGGGGTGGGCTGCATAGTGTTACAGAGAGGTCGGTGGTGGGCTGTATAGTGTTATAGAGAGGTCAGTGGGCTGTATAGTGTTATAGAGAGGTCGGTGGTGGGCTGCATAGTGTTATAGAGAGGTCAGTGGGCTGTGTAGTGTAATAGAGAGGTCTGTGGGCTATATAGTGTAATAGAGAGGTCGGTATATAGTGTAATAGAGAGGTTGGTGGGCTGTGTAGTGTTATAGAGAGGTCGGTGGTGGGCTGTGTAGTGTAATAGACAGCTCGGTGGGCCAAGGCTATGTCGCTGCCCCTGTCAGTAGTGTTTGCACAGAGGTGTCACAGACAAAGGGAGGCAGGAATGTCAGGTATGTGGGGGGGAGGGGGCTGTGTGAATGTGAGAGATGAAAGGGGGAAGTTAAGTGAATATAATATTCTCCTCTTCAGCCTGGTCTCCTTTAACCCTTTACTGCCTGACCTCTGCAGAGTGATTCTATTAACCCCTTACTGCCTGACCTCTGCAGAGTGATTCCATTAACCCTTCACTGCCTGACCTCTGCAGAGTGATTCCATTAACCCCTTACTGCCTGACCTCTGCAGAGTGATTCCATTAACCCCTTACTGCCTGGCCTCTGCAGAGTGATTCCATTAACCCCTTACTGTCCGGCCTTTGCAGATTGGTTCCATTAACCGCTTACTGCCCGGCCTCTGCAGATTGATTCCATTAACCGCTTACTGCCCGGCCTCTGCAGATTGGTTCCATTAACCGCTTACTGTCCGGCCTCTGCAGATTGGTTCCATTAACCGCTTATTGCCCGGCCTCTTCAGAGTGATTCCATTAACCCCTTACTGTCCGGCCTCTGCAGATTGGTTCCATTAACCGCTTACTGCCCGGCCTCTGCAGATTGATTCCATTAACCGCTTACTGCCCGGCCTCTGCAGAGTGATTCCATTAACCCCTTACTGCCTGGCCTCTGCATAGTGATTCCATTAACCGCTTACTGCCTGGCCTCTGCAGAGTGATTCCATTAACCCCTAACTGCCTGGCCCCTGCAGAGTGATTCCATTAACCCCTAACTGCCCGGCCTCTGCAGGCCTCTGGCATTAACCCTTTACTGCCAGACCTCTGCAGATTGATTCCATTAAACCCTTACTGCCTGTCCTCTGCAGAGTGATTCCATTAAACCCTTACTGCCTGTCCTCTGCAGAGTGATTCCATTAAACCCTTACTGCCTGTTCTCTGCAGAGTGATTCCATTAACCCTTCACTGCCTGTCCTCTGCAGAGTGATTCCATTAACCCTTTACTGGCAGGCCTCTGCAGGGCCTTTCCATTAACCATTTACTGCCTAGTCTGTGGAGAATCATTCCTTTAATATTTTACTGCCTGGACTCCATGGAGAGTCATCAATTTAACCCTTTACTGCATGGTCTGCGGATAATCATTCTTTTAACCCTTTACTGCGTGGTCAGCGTATAATCATTCTTTTAACCCTTTTCTACATGAACTCCATGGAGAATCATTAATTTAACCCTTTACTGACTGAGCTCTGCATATAGTCATTCCTTTAAATATTTTCTGCTTGGATTCTAAGGGGATTTATTCCTTTAACCCGTTACTGCCTGGTCATTCCTTTAAGCCTTTACTGGCCTAAGGCCATTGAGAATATTGACCACCTGTTTAAAGCACCCCGTATTTCTAGACTATAAAATGGCTCAGCTACAGCCTGCCACCTCACCCCTGCAGTCCCCTAACGTATCACTGGGTACAGCCCATAAACCCACTATATTAGTGGCCCTAATTGCCCCCTGCCCTCCCATTCCAGACACCTCGGCTAGGGCAGTTTCGTTTGACACCTTCAGAATGGGGGCACGGAGGGACCAGCACTACCACAGGCTCAGGAGAGGGTCCAGTAGGGAATTACTCTGTATGGAGTTTTATTAAAACAAATTAGTGGGAGGTTAATTATAACTAGCTGATTGTCGAGCTGTCAGTGGGAAATTGTAATTGGTTACCATGGTGACTGTGTCAATCAACTAAGAATTACATTTTGAACCCAACCCCAGACAAATGGTGGCATGGTACATTGTATTGCTGTCAGGGAAAGGGTTAAACTCTTTATATTCTATATATAGGGATACGTATTAATCTAGAGCTGTTCCAAAGAGCTTACAGTCACATTAACAACTCTTCAACCTGTATTTACAGCCTGTCTAATGGGAACGTTTAAGCCCACAGTGGGGGACATGCCGTGTCAACCTTGTCCCCTTAACAGCCTTACAGCGGCCCCAGGGGCCACAGTGTGTAACTGCAAAACTGGGCATTTTCGAGCTCCTGCAGATCCCGCAACAGATTCATGTACCAGTAAGTATTGTCTGCACTACCTGCACCCACTACTTGTATCTGTGCGCACTACCTGCACCCCACTACTTGTATCTGTACACACTACCCACCCCAATACACACTACCTGCACCCCACAACCAATCCCAATACACACCACCTGCACCCCACTACCCATCCTAATATGCACTACCTGCACCCCACTACTTGTATCAGTACACACTACCTGCACCCACTACTTGTATCAGTACACACTACTTGCACCCTACTACCCTTCCCAATACGCACTACCTGCACCCCATGACCCATCCCACTACACGCACACCACTACTTGTATCAGTACACACTACCTGCTCCCCCAGTACACAGTACCTGCATCCCTCTTCCCATTCCACTCTCTCTCCCTCTATTTATACCCCTCGCTCTCTCTCTATTTATATCCCTCACTCTCTCTCCCTCTATACCTCTCTCCCTCTCCCAACCTGTAATTATTCTTCTCTCACTCTTTCCCCAGCCCCTCCCTTGGCTCCTCGAAGTATTGTAGCCCATGTAAATGGGTCTGTGGTGGACTTGGATTGGAGTGAGCCACTTGATTCTGGCGGACGGGGAGACTTGTACTATGAAGTGCAATGTCTGGAATGTGCTGTGAATGCACAGTGTATACCTTGCACCCGACTCACCTTTTCCCCGCGCCCTAATCGCCTGCTGGAGCGCAAGCTACGCGTATCTGGGCTCCGACCAAGGATGACTTACAATTTCCGTGTGCTGGCACTAAACGGGGTGTCGGAACGAAGTGGAATTGGAGCAATGGGCGAGGAGCTCAATGTTACCACCGACCGTGATGGTAAGGCCCAGTCTTCTAAATATTCCATGAAATATAAGTTCCTTGGGGGAGGGACTAACTCCTAATGATAAGCTGCAACCCACAGGATAGGCTGTCAGAACAGCAACAACTGTCACTTTACACGTGTCCCCCTGGGCTGGCAATATACGTATAACTGTGTGTTTCTCACTAGAAATGAATACGAACAGATTGTCCTGAAAGAATCGTCAGGACCCAGATCTCACAGCTTCTCGAGCTATCAATAATGCTACATCTCTATTACTATAATAATAACAATAATATATATAATGTTACATCCATCACTCAAATAATGCACATGTGTGATGCAAGGACACATTCATTCACTTACAGTATCGTTACTTTTTATAAGACACATTTATTTTTTTTGTAGATTATATATGTTTCATTTTAATAGTCATATGATTAAAATTTGTTTGGTGTCACAGTTTGTGTATTTTTCTTATTTTAATAAAATATCTAACAGGAATCATTACTGGAGTTATACCCCTGCCAGCCTATGTTCTCTGTATCTAATGTCTGCTATCTCTCCAGTTCCCCTCCCAGTTTCCGGAATCCAACAAATGGCAGCAACAGATACCTCACTCTACCTGCGGTGGGCGCCACCACCCCCACCCAACCAGCCCAAGGGCAATATCCTGGATTATGAGGTCAAATACTATGAAAAGGTGATAACATTATTATTTTGTTTTTTGGGGAAATTTGATGAATGTGATTATTTAATTGTTATGGAAGAATATATAAAAATACTTTTACACATTGTACAGGAAGAGTAGCGCATAATAGGAGAGTCACAAGTTCACCACAGTGCACAGAAATTAGACACGTCTCCATAATATCAGTAAATGATAACGCTGACATTACAGTAATATCCGATAAATGATAACGCTGACATTACAATAATATCCAGTAAATGATAACGCTGACATTACAGTAATATCCGATAAATGATAACGCTGACATTACAGTAATATCGGATAAATGATAACGCTGACATTACAGTAATATCCGATAAATGATAACGCTGACATTACAGTAATATCCGATAAATGATAACGCTGACGTTACAGTAATATCGGATAAATGATAACGCTGACATTACAGTAATATCCGATAAATGATAACGCTGACATTACAGTAATATCGGATAAATGATAACGCTGACGTTACAGTAATATCGGATAAATGAGAACGCTGACATTACAGTAATATCCGATAAATGATAACGCTGACGTTACAGTAATATCTGATAAATGATAACGCTGACATTACAGTAATATCGGATAAATGATAACGCTGACATTACAGTAATATCCGATAAATGATAACGCTGACGTTACAGTAATATCGGATAAATGATAACGCTGACATTACAGTAATATCCGATAAATGATAACGCTGACATTACAGTAATATCGGATAAATTATAACGCTGATCAAACATTGGAATTATGCGAAGAGATGAAGAAAGATGGCTCCATATAAACTCTATGGATAAACTGCTGCTATTTCAGCGTGATTGTTTTACTGCGTTCTGGCACACAGAGCTCTGTAGGAATCTGACACTGTATGATGGCCATAAAGCAGAGGGGAAATATCTCAGGAGTGCAACAAAGCTTACTGGCACATATGTTCATGTCTGTCAGACCCAAGATTGTGTCCAGTCTACAATTTAGTTCCATCTTGGTGTAGATAACAATGCCCAAGTAACACCCACCATGTTTCCCCACAGGATCAAGAGAAACCCCTAATAATGTTCCTGAAGACCACAGCCAGTGAGGCTCGTCTGGTGGGACTTCGGGCCGGCACCCTGTATGTGGTACAGGTGCGAGCGAGGACTGAAGCTGGGTACGGGGCTTTCAGTGGAGATGCCTTATTTCAAACCTTGTCACATGGTGAGTACAGGCATTAGGTGTTACCTTCTGATAAAGGGCTGGTTATTGAAATGATTTGACCACTTATTCTTCTCTAGTGCAACTGTCTGGATTGGTCTCCAGAGATCTCTTAACTAGTCTTATTAGGACAGATATATTTTATTATTATTATTATTATATATATATGGGTAACTACAGATCGGGCAGCTTATTGTCCTCTGTTCTCAGCATTGGGTAGTCGATGATACACACTCTTGTTGTCATATCACTGTTTCTCAAGCTTTTCCAATTGGCCTTCTGGCCGCGATGTGATGTCTAAATTGTGAAGTATACAATCAGCTCAATAGCAGAATAACTGCTTTAATTGTATCATAAGATAATGGCTCCTGTATTGATTTACCCGGTATGATAATGTGTTGTTTCTTTCCTTAGACCCAGAGAAAGCGCAGCCTCAGGTGGCGTTAATTGCGGGGACAGCCGGTGTGGGCACGCTTCTTGTCATAGCCGTTATAATAGTCGCCATTGTGTGCGTACGGTGAGTACTGGGATTTTACTCCTATAGAAAGTCTGCAAACTCCATGGGACATTCCCATTTTAATATAAAATCATATCAAATGGAACTTTTTTTTTATCTGTGAAAATGTTGTGTATTGGTTTTGTCACACGAGACACGTGGGAAAACAAACAACGAAGGGAGGTATGATTTGTGTGTATTTGGGTTCTGCAGGAAACATGCAATTAACAAGGAGACCGAGTATAGCGACAAGCCTCCGCAGTATCTCATCGGACACAGTGAGTGTGTATATAGACCTATAGCGGTCATTCTGCTGTAAGAACTGGCCGCTTCTTAATAGAACTCTTTCAATCCTACTAACTGATCACTCTCTGCTCTCTCTAATACCAGATCACTTCCTGCTCTCTCTAATACCAGATCACTTCCTGGTTGTCATATATCTCTTCCTGTAATAACTGATCTCTTCCTGATTTCCTATTTTAATTAGCTATCTTTTCTGGTAATAGGCAATATCTTCCTGTAATTCCGATCTCTTCCTGTTCAAAAAAAAAAAATCTCTTCCCGTAATAACAAATCTCTTCCTGTAATAACTGCTCTATTCCTGTAATAACAGATCTCTTCCTGTAATAACTGCTCTATTCCTGTAATAACAGATCTCTTCCTGTAATAATCGATTTCTTCCAGTAATAATCGATTTCTTACAATATTAACTGATCTCTTCCAATAATAACCAATCTTCTCCTGTAATAACAGATCTCTTCCTATAATAACAGATCTCTTCCTATAATAACCAATCTTCTCCTGTAATAACAGATCTCTTCCTATAATAACAGATCTCTTCCTATAATAACCAATCTTCTCCTGTAATAACAGATCTCTTCCTATAATAACAAATCTCTTCCTGTAATAACAGATCTCTTCCTATAATAACCAATCTTCTCCTATAATAACAGATCTCTTCCTGTAATAACGGATCTTTTCTTGTAATAACAGATGTCTTCCTGTAAAAACTGATCTCTTCCTGTAATTACCAACCTTTTCCTGTAATAAATTATCTCTTCCAGTAATAACCGATCTTTACCTGTAATAACCAAGCTCTTCCAGTAATAACCGAGCTCTTCCAGTAATAACCGAGCTCTTCCAGTAATAACCGATCTCTTCCTGTAAAAAATGATCTCTTCCTGTTAAAACCGATCTCTTCCTGTAATAAAATATCTCTGCTTGTTATAACAGATCTCTTCCTGTAATAAATTATCTCTGCTTGTTATAACAGATCTCTTCCTGTGATAAATTATCTCTGCTTGTTATAACCGATCTCTTCCTGTGATAAATTATCTCTGCTTGTTATAACAGATCTCTTCCTGTAAAAAATGATCTCTTCCTGTTAAAACCGATCTCTTCCTGTAATAAAATATCTCTGCTTGTTATAACAGATCTCTTCCTGTAATAAATTATCTCTGCTTGTTATAACAGATCTCTTCCTGTGATAAATTATCTCTGCTTGTTATAACCGATCTCTTCCTGTGATAAATTATCTCTGCTTGTTATAACAGATCTCTTCCTGTAAAAAATGATCTCTTCCTGTTAAAACCGATCTCTTCCTGTAATAAAATATCTCTGCTTGTTATAACAGATCTCTTCCTGTAATAAATTATCTCTGCTTGTTATAACAGATCTCTTCCTGTGATAAATTATCTCTGCTTGTTATAACCGATCTCTTCCTGTAATAACAGATCTCTTCCTGTGATAAATTATCTCTGCTTGTTATAACCGATCTTTTCCTGTAATAACCGATCTTTTCCTGTAATAAATTATCTCTGCTTGTAATAACCGATCTCTTCCTGTAATAACCGATCTCTTCCTGTAATAACTGTAAGAATATGTTATAATTGTGCTGTTACAAATAATACTTTTCATGTATGTATATTTTTTCACCTGTTGTATTACAGATGCCAAGTTATACATTGATCCTTTCACTTATGAGGATCCTAACGAGGCTGTTCGAGAATTTGCTAAAGAAATTGATGTGTCTTATGTGAAGATTGAGGAGGTCATAGGAGCAGGTGAGGGTTTTACAAGGAGAGTTCAAGCAATGAGTTAAAGAGAAAGGAGTCTGGCATACACAGTAACAAAGGGGTAGGAGAAAATAGAAGACAGACACATTAGAGGACAAGGCACATCAGATTACATTTGGACTGGGTAATGTGGGTGACGCTAATGGCAGTTGGATACAATGGAAGGTGCAGAGGATGTTGGAGGTCAGAGATAAGAAAGAAATGTTTAGTAAGGTAGGAGCTTACGAGCCTCATTTTAGATGTGAGCCAGGTGAGTAAAAGTGGTGGCATATCATGAAGAGAAACTGGGGCAAGGGAAAGCAGAATGACGATGATAGATGCGAGAGTTGGCAATGATAGATGTGGGAGTTGGCAATGATAGATGTGGGAGTTGACGATGATAGCTGTGGGAGTTGGTGATGATAGATGTAGGAGTTGGCGATGATAGATGTGGAAGTTGGCGATGATAGATGTGGAAGTTGGCGATGATGGATGTGGGAGTTGGTGATGATAGATGTGGAAGTTGGCGATGATAGATGTGGAAGTTGGTGATGATAGATGTGGAAGTTGGTTATGATAGATGTAGGAGTTGGCGATGATGGATGTGGAAGTTGGCGATGATGGATGTGGAAGTTGGCGATGATGGATGTGGGAGTTGGTGATGATAGATGTGGAAGTTGGCGATGATAGATGTGGAAGCTGGTTATGATAGATGTGGAAGCTGGTTATGATAGATGTGGAAGCTGGTTATGATAGATGTAGGAGTTGGCGATGATGGATGTGGGAGTTGGCGATGGTAGATGTGGGAGTTGGCGATGGTAGATGTGGGAGTTGGCGATGGTAGATGTGGAAGCTGGTGATGATGGACGTGGAAGCTGGCGATGATGGACGTGGGAGCCTGCGATGATGGACGTGGGAGCCTGCGATGATGGACGTGGGAGCCTGCGATGATGGACGTGGGAGCCTGCGATGATGGACGTGGGAGCCTGCGATGATCAATGTGGGAGCCTGCGATGATCAATGTGGGAGTTGGTGGTGATCGATGTTGAAGTTGACGATGATGGATGTGGGATCTGGTGATGGTAGATGTGGAAGTTGGCGATGATAGATGTGGAAGCTGGTTATGATAGATGTGGAAGTTGGCGATGATAGATGTGGAAGTTGGCGATGATAGATGTGGAAGCTGGTTATGATAGATGTGGGAGTTGGCGATGATGGATGTGGGAGTTGGCGATGATGGATGTGGGAGTTGGCGATGATGGATGTGGGAGTTGGCGATGATGGATGTGGGAGTTGGTGATGATAGATGTGGAAGTTGGCGATGATAGATGTGGAAGTTGGTTATGATAGATGTGGAAGCTGGTTATGATAGATGTGGAAGCTGGTTATGATAGATGTGGAAGCTGGTTATGATAGATGTGGGAGTTGGCGATGATGGATGTGGGAGTTGGCGATGATGGATGTGGGAGTTGGCGATGGTAGATGTGGGAGTTGGCGATGGTAGATGTGGAAGCTGGTGATGATGGACGTGGAAGCTGGCGATGATGGATGTGGGAGCCTGCGATGATCAATGTGGGAGTTGGTGGTGATCGATGTTGAAGTTGGCGATGATGGATGTGGGATCTGGTGATGGTAGATGTGGGAGTTTGTCTCCCAGGAATGTTTAGTGGTATGGGGGTCAATTTGGCTCTAGACTGGTATGGTTGGATTCACTTCAGTTGAGGTTAGAACATGAATAGTGAAGAGAAGACACTGCAGCCTCTCCTGACCCCCATTTTAACTCTTTTTAGGGGAATTTGGGGAAGTGTGCCGTGGACGCCTGAAGGTGCCAGGGAAGAAAGAAAACTATGTGGCGATAAAAACCTTAAAAGGCGGGTACACGGAGCGCCAGCGCAGAGAATTCCTCAGTGAGGCGAGCATCATGGGGCAGTTTCAGCACCCAAACATTATCCACCTGGAAGGAGTAATTACTAATAACTGCCCTGTAATGATCATCACAGAGTACATGGAGAATGGAGCCCTCGACTCATTCCTCAGGGTGAGTGTGCATTGTGTATGTGAGCAAATATTCACCGTCCTTTAACCTGTAACAAAAAGAGAAAGTAATGTTACCCATTGGATGAGCTTAATAATAGAAGGAAATGGCTCTAGAGAGAGCTGCTGGGGAAGGCATTGTGAAAAGCCATGTCTTCAGTTTGTCCCAAAGTGTGGGAGAATCCTCAGTTTCTATGATATCTATGGGTAAGATGTCTACGGGTAGGGTGGTTTGAGATCAAGCTCCTCTTTTTGACTTTTGTGTCACTTCTAGTTGATACGTGCTGCTGTTGGGCACCTAATGTGTCTGGAGGGGGTCACCTAATACATACGTGTGCTGTAGGCAGTGTTCTGAAGTGCTCTAGAGTTCTCTGAGGATTGTGTGAAGAGCTAATTGCCCCATGTTTGGTGTGGAGTCTGTTCAGTTTCTTTAAGCTTGGCTAAGATGTAGTCCAGTCTTAGTACTTCCTAAAAGCAAGAAGAAAAGAGTTTCTAGTCTACTAACAGAAAATACATGGCCATACCATCAGTGGTTTGACAAGTTTGAGGTTCTCCTAGTCCTCTAAATGGCCTATACACCAAATCACACAGAGCCCTCAACGTTGAGTTAGTTTTGCTTCCACGTGGCCATAGTGAGTGTTTCTTGTTTAACGTCAGACATAAGTATATTATCTGCTGGTGGACAAGGGGAGCGATAGAGCAGAACTGGGGTCCCCCAACTATATCTTTGTTTTACAGCTCTGTGGAATATAATGGCACCTTACAAATAATGATCTATTTATTCATTCTCGCAGCAAGTATAATAAAGATTACGGTTAGGTGAAATAATGCAGGACAGACAGATCCCGGAGCTCTGAATGACTCTGGGAATTGATTGACTTCATAGAGAACTGTTTGTTCTTTACTAAAACGTAGCATAAAGTAAACAGACAAATCACTTGCTTTCTGTCTGCAATAGATTTGAATGGCTTTAAGCTTATCTCGCACAACATTACAGAGCATACGTTCTCACGTTAAACAGGCTGCATGTTCTCTGATGACAGTAATTGGCATGGCTAAACGTTGAGGAGTTGATTTAATTCCGTCTGGACTTTGTTGTGGGGCTGATTTGTAAACTCAAAGCCACGTACAGATTTTGAAATCATTATTGCCTCCAGCCTCCAATTAAGAACCTCCAGCTCCATGAATGTTTGCTTGTAATGTGCCAAAATAATTTGAAATAAGTGTGTTATTTTTAATCCAATGCTGTCAGCTGGATCTCAAGGTCCAGAACAAGGGGATATCCCTGGGCTAGGAGATGCTCCATCAGACCATGATGTTCCACAGACAAATTTCCATTTCAATAGATTGGTGGTTGGGGCTGACATCACCAATACAGAGTGTGTATATACATATATAAATGAATATTCCTTGTGTTTGTGTTGCACAGCTAAATGACGGGCAGTTTACACCAATTCAGCTGGTGGGGATGCTGCGGGGAATCGCCTCTGGGATGCGGTATTTGGCGGAGATGAATTATGTTCACAGAGATCTGGCAGCACGAAACATTCTAGTTAACAGTAATCTGGTTTGCAAAGTATCGGATTTTGGTTTGTCGCGGTTTCTCCAAGAAGGATCCACGGATCCCACGTATACCTCCTGTCTGGTAAGAGAATGAAATATGTAAATGGACGTTTGAAAGAGGGGATGGAGTGTGAATGGGCACGAGGGCCGATAGACGGAGTAAATGTGAGGGATAGATGAGTGCAACAAATGAAGAACATGTTGAGGATAAGCTCAGATTACTCATGATGAAAAATTATTTAAATGCTCAGACTACTCTCACATTTCAACTCTCAGGGCGGTAAAATCCCCATCCGATGGACAGCCCCAGAAGCCATCGCCTTCCGGAAGTTTACATCTGCCAGTGATGTCTGGGGATACGGGATTGTCATGTGGGAAGTTATGTCTTTTGGAGAACGACCGTACTGGGACATGTCTAATCAAGATGTGAGTACCAGCAGATTAATGTGTCCAATTACTGCCCATCATTCAGTCCGTAGCCATAAGACAACCAGATTCTCATATTTTAATAATTACTTCAAGGTACACTTTGCGTGAGATTTGTGTTCGTAAAATGGCCATTCAGTCGATTTGTAGATGAGAGGGTGGGTTTTGAGGCTAACCTACTATATTTGTACTCTCTTGTTCTTCAGCTTCCAGATTTTAGATTGTGATCCTTTATTTTTTTAGGTGATTAATGCTATCGAGCAGGATTACCGACTCCCAGCTCCTCCTGATTGCCCATCTGCCCTGCATCAGTTAATGTTGGACTGTTGGCAGAGAGATCGAGCAGCCCGGCCTCGTTTTACCGATATTGTCAGCTCCTTGGACAAACTGATTCGTAACCCAGCCAGCCTGAAGATCACCACCCGGGAGCAACATGGGTAAGTCAGATATGCTTTGCACTAAATGTCTGGCTGGGATTCCTCAGTATGGGAGATCATGTCAGTGAGGAGGGAATGATGATCAGAGAATATTGATCAGTTAAGTGCTAAGCTATGGCAGGAGAAAGCTTAAAACTCTTAAGTTTGATGATTGTTACCTTCCAACAGAACACTTTTCAAGATCACTTGAAACAGATCATCTCTCATTCTCTGTCTCTCTCCAGCATTCGGTAACATATCCTAAATGTTTGTCTGTTCCTCCACAGGACTTCACAGCCTCTCTTGGACCAACGCACGCCGCACTATTCTTCCTTCGCTACGGTGGGCGAGTGGCTGCAAGCAATAAAAATGGGAAGATACGAGGAAGGATTTAGAAATGCAGGATTTACTACATTTAGCAGAGTTCGACAGATAACCACAGAGTAAGTCAATTATAGGCTATAGGAATTGAAGATTGAAATGGATGGTAAATGCTGCCAATTCGAATATCCTAGAACAGGCCACAAGGGACACACAGCACTCACTACACACAGAGCCTCACACTACACACAGAGCTACACACTACACACAGAACACACGGCACTCACTACACACAGAGCCACACACAGAACATACAGCACTCACTACATACAGAGCCACTTACTACACACACAGCACTCACTACACACAAAGCCACTCACTACACACACAGCCACACACAGAACACTCAGCACTCACTGCACACAGAGCCACACACAGAACATACAGCACTCACTACATACAGAGCCACTTACTACACACACAGCACTCACTACACACAAAGCCACTCACTACACACACAGCCACACACAGAACACACAGCACCCACTACACACACAGCACCCACTACACACAAAGCCACTCACTACACACAGAGCCACTCACTACACACAGAGCCACACAGCACTCACTACACACAGAGCCACACACTACACACAGAGCCACACACTACACAAGGAGCCACACACTACTCACAGAACACACAGCACTCACTACACACAGAGCCACACACTACTCACAGAACACACAGCACTCACTACACACAGAGCCACACACTACTCACTACACACAGAGCCACACACTACACACACAGCACTCACTACACACAGAGCCACACACTACACACAGAGCCACACAGCACTCACTACACACAGAGCCACACACTACACACAGAGCCACACACTACACAGCCACACACACCCACTACACACAAAGCCACTCACTACACACAGAGCCACTCACTACACACAGAGCCACACAGCACTCACTACACACAGAGCCACACACTACACACAGAGCCACACACTACACAAGGAGCCACACACTACTCACAGAACACACAGCACTCACTACACACAGAGCCACACACTACTCACAGAACACACAGCACTCACTACACACAGAGCCACACACTACTCACTACACACAGAGCCACACACTACACACACAGCACTCACTACACACAGAGCCACACACTACACACAGAGCCACAAACTCTGTGTGTGGCTCTGGGTAACATGGGTAAGTCAGATATGCTTTGCACTAAATGTCTGGCTGGGATTCCTCAGTATGGGAGATCATGTCAGTGAGGAGGGAATGATGATCAGAGAATATTGATCAGTTAAGTGCTAAGCTATGGCAGGAGAAAGCTTAAAAGGAGCTACACACAGCACTCACTACACACAGAGCCACACACTACACACAGAACACACAGCACTCACTACACACAGAGCCACACACTACACACAGAGCCACTCACTACACACAGAGCCGCTGATTACACACAGAGCCACTGATTACACACAGAGCCACTGATTACACACAGCCACTGATTACACACACAAGACTCACTACGCACAGAGCCACTGATTACACACAGAGCCACTGATTACACACAGCCACTGATTACACACACAAGACTCACTACGCACAGAGCCACTGATTACGCACAGAGCCACTGATTACACACAGAGCCACTGATTACGCACAGAGCCACTGATTACGCACAGAGCCACTGATTACGCACAGAGCCACTGATTACACACACAAGACTCACTAATTACACACAGAGCCACTGATTACACACACAAGACTCACTACACACACAAGACTCACTACACACAGAGCCACTGATTACGCACAGAGCCACTGATTACGCACAGAGCCACTGATTACACACAGAGCCACTGATTACGCACAGAGCCACTGATTACACACAGAGCCACTGATTACACACACAAGACTCACTACACACAGAGCCACTGATTACGCACAGAGCCACTGATTACACACAGAGCCACTGATTACGCACAGAGCCACTGATTACACACAGAGCCACTGATTACACACAGAGTCAAACACTGCTGCTGGCTATGTGCTACTGGAAAAGCAGGGATAAAACAGAAAATAACTTGTTGGGTTCACTAGAAGCCCTAAAAATTGTGACCTGACAGAGTAAACAGGGTTTTTTCGAACCTCAGGCTACGACGAGTTGACTTTATGAATAAATATTCCAACCATCTCACACAATGCAATGTGGTCGTAGTGTAATCAATATACGGTCAGACAAGGCTCAAGACCATTTATCCAATTGTTGTATCACTTTGCCAACGAGTTGTAGAGGATGCCCTGTTCCATGGTCCCAGTCCCCCCTTTCACCATAAAAATTTAATTTCTCCACGAAAACTCAATGATTGAACCTCTAGGAGCCCCTTGGCTAGGTGGACATTAAAAAGCCTGCTATCGCCTCTTCGGAGCACGGGGAACTAGATAGCCCCATTCCTTGCTGGGAGAGGAGCAAATTATTTAGTGAATGTCACCACAGATTAGACAATTCTCACACTTCGTCAAATACGCAAACGAGATAAAGCTTCTTCCATGAAGAAATCAGCATTGGATTATTGTGCAAAGTGCGATCAGAACCATGGAATTGCTCCCACAGGCTTGTGCAATCGGTATCTACGCTCGCAACTAAACAGGGCAACAGTGACTGGTTGTTTGCTATAAGACATCAGTCAGTGATGGAAAGGAGAGAATGTGGGGTGGGAGGTTGCATGAGAATGGGATAAAGAAATTCAAACATTCAAACATGTATTCTTAATGCTCTAATGTTCCTCGAGCTATGTAGGTGCCAACCCCCATGAGGGAAGATTTACTTACCTTACATCCCATGGTGTGCCAGGCTCCGTGGCTGAGTTCATCAGTCTTCATCAGGCTAAGGGCGCAAAATGCTGCTCTAGGAGAGTCATTTGAGCTATAGCCAAGTTTAACTTGGTTCTAGCTGTGGAAGAGCCGCTATTGGTTGTCTTCTGACTAGAGTTGTGTTAACCCTGAATGAAAATATTTTTGTTCCTGCAATGTTTTTAGATGGATGCAGGATTAAATAGACAGGCATGAGGTGGTGTGAGTCTCTTTAAAGACAGTCATTCGGCAGGCAAACATGTAAATATTATTGAAGAAAGACGATTGTAAAATGTACTATTTAGTGGTAATTGTCTTTCCTCCACACACAGTCTAGCTGGTTTCCTCTACACACAATCATACACTTGTGGCCTCCAAGGTTGAGTCAATACAAGCTCTGAATAAGGGTAGTGCTTACTCAAATCATACAATTATACAATTTATTGGTTCCATAATCTAATACATCTTACTAAACAGAATGTAACGTTGCATGCGCCACTCTTGCATTGAACCAAGTGTTTTTAAAAATAAAAATAGTTTACAAATAATTTGAAATTCTCCAGGCTCACTGTTAGCTCTTCATTTATGTCATTCTCACACCTTGCATTCATCTTAACAATCACAGATACCAGAACTCATGCACATAGTTAGAAACATAGAATGTGACGGCAGATAAGAACCATTCGGCCCATCTAGTCTGCCCAATTTTCTAAATACTTTCATTAGTCCCTACTTAGAAAATAACAATGTTTATGCAAACTCCACAAATTTAGTTGCTAATCCTTTCACTTCTACCTGAAGCCCCATAGCGCACAGCTCCCCCTTTTCTGTTTTTGACACATTTTGGAAAATACACAATAATGTCACTTCCAGTAGCGCAACAGAAAGTACTTATTGGTCAATCTTTTTGGCAATTACCTGCCAGATCTGTTCCGATATCAGGCAAATACACAACGGCTTCCAAATCCTTTAGCTCTTTATCTTTAAGCTCACACAAAGCTAGTTTGTGATATTTTCACTGATATTTCATTTGAGGATAGCCACGTCCCGTGCCTTTTGTAGGGACGTGACAGGGATCTAATTGTTTCACATATACCGTGAAAACGATTGCTAACTTAATGTCCTCTCCATTTAATTGTAAACATCTCTCCACCCATTGTGCTTCTTCTTAGAGACCTGCTACGGATGGGGATCACGCTTGCTGGTCACCAAAAGAAGATATTATCGAGTCTTCAGCAAATGGTCCCAGCTGAGAAGATTCCCTCGGGACCCGGACTATGCTACTAGTTGACTTTGCTGCACCATTGGACTTGAGACCACCAATCACAAACTCTCATTGAGCAGTGCAATAAGCTGATTGGTTGCAGCCTTGTGATGTCACCACTGACTGTCCAGCACGGTATCTAGGAGAGGCAGAGTTTGGGGTGACCACACACCGCATTGTGAAGGCAGCGGTATATCCCCTGTACAGTATGTATATAAATACATTGTCAATGAGTCTTTTTGTTTCCTCATTTTTATATTAAATTATTTGATAATAAATGAATTGCAAAAAAACTGTGTTTTCTGATTTTAAATATTGTGTTTAATTATTTGTATGTCTGATAAAGGTACACTTCCTTACAGTTACAATAATTTATAGAGCGCCAACATATTCTGCAGCGCTGTACAATGGATAAAAAAGACAAACTATTTCTAACAAAACACGTATGACACACGGTAACAGTAGGTGAAGAGGACCCTGACCGAACAAGCTAACAGTCTAAAGTGTACAGGGGATAATTATAAAAAAATTTCAGAATATTCCTCATATCTGCCACTTTCACTGGGTTTAACTCACCATGTCATTAAAGGGAAACTCCAAGCAACAACACTTTAGCGGAATGAAGTAGTTCTGATGTATAGATTGTGTCCCTGCGGTATCACTGCTCAATTCTCAGCCATTTAGGAGTTAAATCAACTTGTTTATACAGTCCTAGTCACAGTATGAGATTTACAAATTGTTCCACTTTCACTCAGATCTTACAGTACAGTTTGTTTACTTTAGAAGATATTTTATTTTTCTCATTACTAGATCATTACTAGTACTGTATGTCAGGTTGTCATCACTAGTACTGTATGTCAGATTATTACTAGTACTGTATGTCAGATTATCATTACTAGTACTGTATGTCAGGTTATCATTACTAGATCATTACTAGTACTGTATGTCAGATTATTACAAGTACTGTGTCAGATTATTACTAGTACTGTATGTCAGGTTATCATTACTAGTACTGTATGTCAGATCATCACTAGTACTATATTTCGGATTAAAGGATAGGATTGATGAACATCTAAAGACACATTGATTTCAAGATCAGAGACAACATGGGTTTACTTCAGGGAGATCATGCCAAACTAATCTTATTGATTTTTTTGATTGGGTAACTAAAATTATAGATCAGGGTGGTGCAGTAGACATTGCTTACCTAGATTTCAGTAAGGCTTTTGACACTGTTGCACATAGAAGGCTTATCAATAAACTGCAGTCTTTAAGTTTGGATTCAAATATTGTTGAATGGGTAAGGCAGTGGCTGAGTGACAGGCAACAGAGGGTTGTAGTTAATGGAATATATTCGAAGCTTGGACTTGTCACCAGTGGGGTACCTCAGGGATCTGTACTTGGACCCATTCTCTTTAATATTTTTATTAGTGATATTGCAGAAGGTCTTGATGGTAAGGTATGTCTTTTTGCTGATGATACTAAGATATGTAACAGGGTTGATGTTCCAGGAGGGATAAGCCAAATGACAAATGATTTAGGTAAACTAGAAAAATGGTCAGAATTGTGGCAACTGACATTTAATGTGGATAAGTGCAAGATAATGCATCTTGGACGTAAAAACCCAAGGGCAGAGTACAGAATATTTGATAGAGTCCTAACCTCAACATATGAGGAAAGGGATTTAGGGGTGATTATTTCTGATGACTTAAAGGTAGGCAGACAATGTAATAGAGCAGCAGGAAATGCTAGCAGAATGCTTGGTTGTATAGGGAGAGGTATTAGCAGTAGAAAGAGGGAAGTGCTCATGCCATTGTACAGAACACTGGTGAGACCTCACTTGGAGTATTGTACACAGTACTGGAGACCGTATCTTCAGAAGGATATTGATACCTTAGAGAGGGTTCAGAGAAGGGCTACTAAACTGGTTCATGGATTGCGGGATAAAACTTACCAGGAAAGGTTAAAGGATCTTAACATGTATAGCTTGGAGGAAAGACGAGACAGGGGGGATATGATAGAAACATTTAAATATATAAAGGTAATCAACACAGTAAAGGAGGAGACTATATTTAAAAGAAGAAAAACTACCACAACAAGAGGACATAGTCTTAAATTAGAGGGACAAAGGTTTAAAAATAATATCAGGAAGTATTACTTTACTGAGAGGGTAGTGGATGCATGGAATAGCCTTCCAGCTGAAGTGGTAGAGGTTAACACAGTAAAGGAGTTTAAGCATGCGTGGGATAGGCATAAGGCTATCCTAACTATAAGATAAGGCCAGGGACTAATGAAAGTATTTAGAAAATTGGGCAGACTAGATGGGCCAAATGGTTCTTATCTGCCGTCACATTCTATGTTTCTATGTTTAAGCCCTTAAGGACACATGACATGTGTGACATGTCATGATTCCCTTTTATTCTAGAAGTTTGGTCCTTAAGGGGTTAAGTACTGTATGTCAGATCATCATTACTAGTACCGCATGTCAGATCATTACTAGTACTCTCTCTCCCTACCTCTCCTATCTGCCCCTCTTACCCACAGCCCTGCCTCTCCCAACTGCCCCTCTCACCCACAGCCCTGCCTCTCCCAACTGCCCCTCTCACCCACAGCCCTACCTCTCCCATCTGCCCCTCTCACCCCCAGCCCTACCTCTCCCACCTGCCCCTCTAACCCACAGCCCTACCTCTCCCATCTGCCCCTCTCACCCCCAGCCCTGCCTCTCCCATCTGCCCCTCTCACCCCCAGCCCTGCCTCTCCCATCTGCCCCTCTTACCCACAGCCCTGCCTCTCCTATCTGCCCCTCTCACCCACAGCCCTGCCTTTTCCATCTGCCCCTCTCACCCACAGCCCTACCTCTCCCACCTGCTCCTCTCACCCACAGCCCTGCCTCTCCCATCTGCCCCCTCTCTCCCCCATCTGCCCCTCTCACCCCAGTCCTGCCTCTCCCATCTGCCCCTCTCACCCCCAGCCCTGCCTATCCCATCTGCCCCTCTCACCCCCAGCCCTACCTTCCCCATCTGCCCCTCTCACACCCAGCCCTACCTCTCCCATCTGCCCCTCAGCCCTGCATCTCCCATCTGCCCCTCTCACCCCCAGCCCTACCTCTCCCATCTGGAAGGAGAAAGCAACGTTTATTTAGGGTAGGGAGACTTAATTAGTAGAGTTTATTTAAAGCTGTCTGCAGACCTTGGAAGTGGGAGGTAAGGGAGGAGGGCTGAAGCCCACTCAGGAAATGAGAGAGGACGTGTTTACATTGGGGTAATTAGAGTCATTATTATAAATTGAGGCTTACTTAATGACCGCCCTCACCATCGTCTTTCTTATTAGAGATTGCATGTTTGTCCTGAGAGCTATAGCAATAGAGGTGCCAGATTCTGCTTCTAACCAGGATGTCATGATATGAGCCTCCTTAAATACTACTTTTTATATCCCCTCTATGTGCCATGTTCTGTGTCTATTCAATATACCACTGTGTTCTGTCAGTATCGTTCTGTGTCTCAATATACCACATTCTGTGTCTCCTCAGTATACCACGTTCTGTGTCTATTCAATATAACACGTTCTGTGCCTCCTCAGTATACCACATTCTGTGTCTATTCAATATACCACGTTCTATGTCTCCTCAGTATACCACTTTCTATGTCTCCTCATTGTACCATTTTCTGTGTCTCTTCAATGTACCACGTTCTATGTTTCTAAAATGTACCACGTTTTGTCTCCTCAATATACTACGCTCTGCATCTGAGGGAGGTAGGTTCCAGGTTCTCTGTCTCATTGAAGTGCCAGGTTCCATGTCTTTTTGTTAGGGCTGCTCAAGGTTCTGTGTCTTGTAGATGTCCTGGATTCTGTGTCGCCTGGATTTGCCATATCATTGATGTACCCGACCCGTGTTTTCTCGAGGTGCCAAATTTTGTGACCCATCAACATTTCAAGTTTTGTTGCGTTGCTGGTTTCTGGATTTTGTAACTGTTCCAGGTTTTTTGTCTCATCAATTTATGTTTCCTGGAATGTAAGGATCTGGGTCTCCTTTAGGCGCCAGATAGAGGTGTCAGGTTCTGTCTGCTTTACATGATGGGTTCTGTGCTCTGTAGATGTTCCAGGTTCCATTACTTTGATATGCTGGATTTTGTGTTTTGTAGTTGTGCTAGGTTCTTTCTCCTCAAGTAGCTGGGTTCTATATCTTGTAGATGTGTCAGGCTCTGTCTCCTCTTAGTGATGTGTTCTGTGTTTTGTAGATGTGCCAGGTTCTGTCTCCTTGATGAACTGGGTTCTATGTTCTGTAGATGTGCCACCTACTGTCTCCTTGACGAGCTTGCTCCTGTGTTCTGTAGGTGTGCCTGGTTCTGTCTCCTCGATGAGCAGGGTTCTATATCTTGTAGATGTCCCAGGTTCCTTCTTCTCTATGAGCCGGGTTTTATATCTTGTAGATGTGCCAGGTTCCTTCTTCTCTATGAGCTGGGTTCTATATTCTGTAGATGTGCAAAGTTCTGTCACCTAGATGAGATGAGTTCTATGTTCTGTAGATGTGCCAAATTATGTCTCCTAGATGAGATGGGTTCTATGTTCTGTAGATGTGCCAAGTTCTGTATCTTTAATGAACTGGGTTATATATCTTGTAGATGTGCGAATTTCTGTGTCCTCAATGAGCTATGTTCTAGGTTCTGTCTACTTGATGAGTTGGGTTCTATATCTTGGTTCTGTCTCCTCTAAGTGATGGTTTGACAAAAAGAGACTTTAATGTGTCACATGACACAAAATACAGAGCCTCCCCGAGGTACGCTGAGATATCTGCCTGGCAGTTGCTGTTTGAAAATAAAGGTCATTGCTGTTTGTACCAAGATAGAAGCTGGTTGTCTCTTTCCTTGCTTTAACTATCCAAGATCTGCTTTAATGTGAATGCTGGTGGATAAAGGGACTCCAAGCCCAGGCCATAACACTTAGTGATCAGCTGTGCAAGTTAGTGGAAGTACCCACGGAGGATATTAGTCTGTGTCGTCACAAACTGGTGGCAGCTGTGGGATAACTTGCAGTACAGTGTTCTGAAGAGGCTAAAGTTGACCGGAGATGTACATAAGAGCTCAGAGTGCTGCTGAGAGATGCAACATGGCTGAGCAGCAGAATGGAGTGTCTGAACCACAACCAGAGGCTTCCAGCATCGCTCCTGCAATGTCAACTCATGCAATCAGACTGGCCCAGAGAATGCAGAACTACAGGGATGCCACAGGCAGCAAAGTAAGCCTGAGGGA